AACGTAAAGTCAGGCTTTTTTAAGTCAAATTTAAGTTTCTAAGATATTACTATTGTCGCAATTTAGGACTATTGATTCTCATTATTAAGTTAAAACAATCTAAAAAGGATTGCTTTACAAGCCCTTATTGAAATAAACCCTTTCAGGAATGTTTGCTCCACATGTTTCTTTAATTTTTGCGTATTGCTCCGGTTCAAGCCATTCGATTGTTGAAGTTTTCAATGAACTAGAAAATTAATTTAACATTTTTTATTTATTTAATAATAAACTTAACCAACTTACCATTTTTGTGGAAAAAGAGCACAAGCCGTTGGAACCATAAATACTAAGCTAAAATAAATTGTGTAAATTATGCAACCAAATATACACTATAAAATATTTTGATTTTTTTAGGTTAGAAAAAATTACTTACAAGCATCCGACAAACATAACTTGAATTGGTGCGTGTAACGGTTGAATTTTCTTCATCCAATTAAATTTTTCCAATCTTTCCATTATTACAGGTAAAATTAACATCCCTGGGGCACACATAACAATTCTTGAAATTATAACCTGAGAGATCCCTTTTCCGGCCGCCAATCTTGATTGTCCAACAATTTTCCCTTTATCATCAGCAACATCAATGCCGTACATTATCTCCGTTTGACGCATCAAAGGAATATTAGCGCAATTCGCGGCTGCGACCGCAGCAAAAGGTACATATCTTTGTATGAATGGTCCGGCATTTTTTTGCCAGTACGTTTTACAACCCAATGCGGTTATCATAGCGGAAGCCGTTGCAGAAACATAAGCCACCGCTAATTGAGTGGTACTTATTGGAGATTTTGCATTCCGATTTGTAAAATTTACCAAAGCGTTAAAAGATTGATTAACCCATTGCCAAAAAACTACAGCCGGAGCAGTTCTAGATATACATAAAAAGAAAACGACCTTAATATATTTATTATTATTAAAGTAAACATATAAATATAAAGAAATTAATTTTGACATTTAAAACGTCAAAATTTAACCTAACTTTTAAAATGACGTCATTGGGTAAAAATTTTCCAATGGATGATTAATTTTTAATGGAATTTCACAAAAAAATTGATAAAACCTTATCAATAAAAGATAACAAAATAATAAATATTATTACATAACACAAAATAAATTGTTTAACGTACCGATAAAATTGTAACATAGCCCCCGTTACGGCCATACCACCAGGTACTTGAAAAGACATTCTTCCAAAGGCATTTTGTAATTCTCCACTATCGGGATGAAAAGCACTCTCGTATAATTTTTTAGCATAAACAACTTGGTCAACGGTAGTTCCAGGAGGTTCTTTTCCTAGACGATATTGTTCGACCAAATTTTTCGCCTTAATTAATTCGTCTTCGCTACAAACGCACGTCCGGAAATCGGTCACCCATAAAAAATGCTTAAATCGCCCAATAAACGAGTTCTGATCCCAAAGAGGTTCGTCAATTTTAATCCTTTCTGGCATTTTCTTTTCGAAACGAAACTTTTCTAAGATTTTTAAATTAAAATAAAAACACGAACAAATTTAATTCGTTTATTAAACTAAATTAAATTCACGATTATGTGATCGAATCGGCTACAAACACGAAAGTCTTTATCCAGACTGTTGTATAACAGAAATTGATGTTTTTGTTATTATCCGGGTGTTTTGAATCCAAAGTACGCGATGGAAATTAATCAAAGCGTACACGTGAACAAAAACAAACATTATTTGTGCGATACTCACCAGGCTTTTTTATTTTTAAAGAGAACTATATCGTCACTATCCGAGCAACCAATGACATATACGAATAAGTAACGATGTTGGGAATTTTATTCGCAACCAGGTGATAACGTAAAGTCACTAGAAACGCGAGTTGTAAATTTCGATTTGGAACCGTACCAACGGTTTTTACGGTAACTCTTTTTATATAACATTTTTCTTTAGGCGTTTGATATTAAGCCAACGAAACACACTTGGGACACACTTGCGATTTTATTTTTAACGAAAGAATCAAAACAAGCGCTCGAACGTAGGCGGTTATGTACACCTGAGAATGAAAATTATGCAATGTAAATCTTAATTTAACAATAAATCTTCGTAATAATCAAAATAATTAAGTATTTTAAGGTTATTTTTTTTTTATTTTGACATTTGTTGTCAAATTGAATGTCAAATAAGTGAATACAAGGTTAGATTTACACTTTTTTGCATATTACCTGTCAAATTATTCCAAAGTTGGTAATATTAACAGGGTATTTTTGTTATATCATGTTTTAAAATTAATTAGTATGACATTGACATTTTTTTGGTTCAAATAATTAAAACACATTTGTATTTTGTAAAACATTTAATGTATTTAGTATGTGGTGACATTCTTTTAAAAGAAATGTTGGTTTAAGATTATCGATGTTGACTGTTAATTCTTGGTTATTTTTGATAATTACAAAATATTTCGGAAATGTTTTTATCACTTTAAATGGGCCTTCATATCTTGGTGTTAAAGAGGCTTGAATCCCATTAATTTTGACAAAAACATATTTTGAATTGAATAAATCTTTATGAATGAATGGTTTGACAGATAAACAACCTAGGTCTGCGTTAAGAGATGATCTGAGGCCTAGGAGGACCAAGGGAAGATTATTGTTCCACCTCGGGAGTGATAGCTGTTTTCAAAGAACGGTGAAATCTTTCTAAAATTCTGTTGCTTTGAAGATGGGAGGTGGATGTATGAATTTGACGTGTTCGTAGAAGAGTGTGAAATGATGAAAGGAGTTTTGATTCGAATTGCCAAATCGACTGAAATAATCCCGAAATAAAATCCTTCCAATAGAAGTAGAACTTAATATCTTTGAGAGGAAAAGCTTTTTCTTTTAATGTACCTGATATCGGATGCGTATTGTGTTATGTAACTAAGACATCGTATTTGACGTGAAGTTTTTTCTGTGGTATAAAAGATTGGTGATTTGTGGTCAGTATAAACCACAAATTGATGTGCATGCAAAAAATGCCTAAAGAATTTGATACTAATGTAAATTGCTAACAATTCCTTATCAAAAGTTGATTAATTGACTTGAATTGTAGAAATTTTTTGAGAAAAGAATGCTAAAGGTTGCGTTTTATTGTCTATAGTCTGTCACAAAACTACTCCCTTTCCTTTACTTGAGGCGTCTGTTGTCAGTGAAAGAATAGCTTGATGGGTGTGTAAGAGTGACGGATTTTAATAAAAATTCTTTGGCTGTAGTGAAAGAAATGGCGTGATGATGTGTCCAGGAAGTGATTGATTTAAGTTTTTGTGAATAACGTGTTTTTGATAAATGATGTAAAAAAGCCAAACTGTTATCTCTGATAAAAATTTATCATTCCTAAGAATCGTTGTAATTGATTAAATGTGGTTGGTTTTGGAAATTCAGTTATGGCATGAACCTTAAATTGCGAAGGGCGAATGCCTTCTGTAGAAATAACATTCTAAGATATGGCAAAAGCTTAATCTCTCAAACAATTGTTGTAAATGAAGATAATGTTCTTCTTCATTCCTTCTGGCTACTAGACTATCATCTAGAGATACAAAAAAGAAATCCAAGCCAGAAAGAACATTCTTTATAAACCTTTGAAAGGTTCAAAAAATTTTGCAGTTACCTAGGAAGTAGTGATGAAACGGATAGTGATTTTGCGAAAAGCCGGATATTTTGAAACTCATATTCCAAGAAATGGATTTTATACGAATTTTTAAAACTTAATCGGCGAAAATTGCAAAATTGAAAAAAATTGTCGGTTTTTTCAAAAATTTATTTCTCAAGAACTGAAAGTGATTTTTGAAAACGGCTTTTTGCATTAAAAAGAGGATACTTTAATTAACAATTGGTGATATTTCCACAAGGATCCTTCAAGAAATTAATTTTATAGCGAATTTTGAAAATTATCGATGAAAATTGCAACATCGAAAATTTTATCAAAACTTCAAATATTGTTTTCTCAAAAACTGGAAGTTATTTTTCAAAACGGGTTGGTTCATTGGAAAGAGGACACTTTTATTAACACTTTGGGAAATTTTCATACTCATATTCCAAGAAATGGATTTTATACGAATTTTTAAAACTTAATCGGCGAAAATTGCAAAATTAGAAAAAATTGTTCATTTCAAAAATTTATTTCTCAAAAACTGGAAGTGATTTTTGAAAACGGCTTTTTGCATTAAAAAGAGGACACTTTAATTGATAATTGGTGATATTTACACAAAGATCCTTCAAGAAATAAATTTTATAGCGAATTTTGAATGTTATCAATGAAAATTACAACATCGAAAATTTTATCAAAACTTCAAATATTGTTTTCTCAAAAATTAAAAGTTATTTTTCAAAATGGGTTGGTTCATTGGAAAGAAGACACTTTTATTAATACTTTGGGAAATTTTCATACTAATATTCCAAGAACTGTATTTTATACGAATTTTTAAAACTTAATCAGCAAAAATTGCAAAATTCGAAAAATTGTCCATTATTTCAAAAATTTATTTCTCAAGTACTGAAAGTGATTTTTTAAAACGGCTTTTTGCATTAAAAAGGGGATACTTTAATTAACAATTGGTGATATTTCCACGATGAGGTTACTAATGACAAATCTGATATAAATAAAGTTGTATTAAATAGTGTAGAAAAAAGTCTTATTGGGGTTGAGCTTGATTATTATCTGCAGTGTCCAAAACCTAAAAGAGATACTAATTCCTGTGAATGGTGGAGTACTAAGTAATAGGTTTTTAATATCTGGCCAAAGCATCATAACATTTCCTGTTGATTTTAAACCCCTACAAATAAAACATTGTTATTAAATTTAATACAATTTTTATAACTTACCTTATGATAATGACAATAACGGTCATTATCATAAATATAGCCTTAAAATGATCATGATTTATTTAGTTCCAAAAAGAATTCGCTCAATAAATCGAAATATTGCGGTGGAGGTAACCTAACCTATAATTCGAAACCGCTGTCAAAAATAAAACAAGGTCATCTTAGTTACAAATTTAAAATCAAGGTGTACCAACTTAGGTTAAAAGAACCAAGCAATTTTTTCTTTGTTATTAGGAAAATTATAAATAATTTTCGATTACGTTGAAAGAAAAATACATTTATCAACACTAATTATCGTTTAAATACCGAGAACTCATTAAAAAATAACGTAGTAAAGAACGATCCGTTCTTTTTTGGTTGTAATCACCACAATCTGTTTCTACTTAATTTAAGAACAATATTCAGCATTGAATGTTTAAAATGAATGTTTAAGGCAGTTTCGAATGTAACACCCTGTGTAAAATGTAAAATAATGGGTTTTGATGAGTTGAATTTTTTTATTTGGTGACCGCGTGGGAAATCAAATAATGACGTAGAAATCAACGTAAATCGGTCGTAGGTCGTAAATTTTCGATACGAAACGTTGAAAAAAAAATTTTCCGGTGGAACTTCGGTGTTTTTCTCCTTTTCATTATTTTACCTTGGTTTGGGTCGCGTTTTAGGGGATTTATTTTTATGATTATATGAAATATGGCGACTGCGGAAAATACAACCGATGTACATTTATTAAAACATACAAAAATATCGGTACACGTAGACGAAGCCCTACCGGATATCATAGTAGTCACGTACGAATTTGGCGTAAAAATTTTTAAAGGAGTCTTATTAGATTCAACTAAAAAGTAAGTCTCAAGTATCCTTTTAAAAAACCCTTTATCATTAAAAAAATTACTCAGGAACTTACCATGCGGCGTTCAAACTCTAAATCCAGCCTTAAACGTGCCAAAAGCAAACTCAGAGGAAGACCCTTTATACGCAGTTAACCAACGGTTTAATTACACAGAACCGGGAGCAACAAAAAAACGAACTCACCTCTCAAAATATAAAAACAACAAAATGACTGTGAGGTTAAGACCCAGGCAGGTCCTGTGCTCAAAATGCAAAGGAATTTGTAATGAAAACTCGGAAAACGTCACCAGGAAAAGAAAATCAACTGAAAGTGTACCTAACCCTCACCCAAAACGAAGCGCCAACGCCCCCGTTACCAGATCTGTACAAAGAAATATTGGAGGTTATGTAAAACCAACATCGGTAAGGTTTTTGTGTGGGATTAATCAACAAATTTATTTATTTCTAAAATCTAGACGACCCAAATCAAAAGAACCAAAATGGACAAAGTTAAAAAGTCGAATGGAAACGTTTCTGAGGACACCAATAGTAACGTAGAGGAAGATCAAAGTTTTGTACATTCCCAAGAACATTCCGAACAACCCTCAACAACCACATCTTTGGAGTCAGTTCGAAATTTTGGAAAAACAACGAAACACAAACAAATGTTACGAAAAAAAAGGAATTTAGGCTCTGCAGAAGAACCTGTCGAAGAAATTCGAAGCGAACCGGACACAAAGAACAAAGAAACACCATCGACGACGTTCATTACGCAAAATTGTAACGTTCAAAACGAACAACCTTTAACAACAACATGTACAAATACAAGAACGATTAAAATATCGTATGGACCTCAAGGTAAATATAAAAAAAATTTTAGGTCAAATTTTTTTTAGGTTACAAAATATAACCTAAAATTTTTTTGTTGCTAAGCAACCAAGTTTTGATACATACAATTTTTGACATAACCTAAAAAAAAAAAAAATTATTTTTATTTTTTATTTATTTTAGGTATAATTCAAGTTATCATGTCGCTTAATAATCGACAATTTTTTTTTAATCGATGGGAAATTACTCAAGTAAGCCGTTACGAATAAAAAAAAGTGTAAAAATCACTTTAAAGTTTCGATGTGACGTCATCGACGCTATATTTATATATATTTTCGGGGTAAATTTGGTTAAAACGCATATTTTCAGACGAAATTTCGGGTTTTCGACGCACAACGACTAAAATATCGTTGTTTCCATCTATAAACTAAAAATAACCTAAAATTTAAACGTTACATTCCGATAATATTTTAATAATTAATTACTTTATTTATTTATTCATCTACGGGTATAATACATTTAAAATAGACTAACAATAAGTAAAAAAGAAAATAACCAAAAATAAATTGAAATATTGAATTTACTTAGAAATTAATAGTAAATATTATACAGGGTGTGTCAAATGTTTGGAATATAGGCAATAACTTTGGCATTTGTGGTTTAAAAAAAAACCAATAATTAATAATTGGTTTCAATAATTATCATTGACATGATTGCTAATTAATACACCTAAATAAGTAGCAACTTGCACAGATGTAATTCTTTTACAATTGCAATCGTCCACACAACAATCATTTTCATGAATTGGAAGGCTAAAAAAAGCTATTAGTGATATCCTTCCTGATGGTAAACTTTATAAAATTTGACTTGCTATCATTTAAAATAAATTTGCTGCTACTTAGCCAGTTATTTATTAATTTCAAATCTGCTCTATCTTCAACATTCGCCCAAAAACGGCTTCCACAATCAGAACGGTATCGTCCACATAAGAGATTAACTCTCCATTCAGTGTTAATGATACTGATTTACTTACACTTTCAGTTAGGTTAATTAACGTTTAAACCAGTGCGAATTTCTCAAATGTCGGGTTGGGGATGGAGCAGAGGATGGGTTTTAAATTCCGGGTTGGGTATGTTTCTAGTTTTAGGTATAATATTAGTTCTAGTGACAGGTAGCACTAGTTAGTTGGACGTAGAAATATTCGGGTTTAGCGCCTAAAAATAATTTTGATGTTTTTTGAAAGAGTTTAAACGCACAGCTAATAAAAAAACTTTCAGGTATTAATGTCAACTTTAATTTTATTATATTCGTAATCTTCATAAAATAACCGTTAAAATGAGTCCAAACATGACGCAATTATCTCAAAAAACAAAAAAGTTAGAATAAGAAACATTAAACCCGAAGTTAGCAACAATGAAGATAGCAATTTAATTATAAATATGTCGAAATTGAGGTTGACAGTTTAAACATGAAGTTAATTATCATATAATAGCAAATGGACAACTTCATGGTGCTCTTTCATGATGTATTCTTTATTAAAAAACCTTTAAAACAAATCCATACATGATGCTTTTATCTCAAAAAACAAAAAACTTAGACTAAAAAACATTAAACCCGAAGTTAACAACAATAAAGATAGCAATTTAACTTTTAAATATTAATACCAACCTTAATTTTTGATTACTTTTATTATATTTTTGTGACAAATTTTAAGACATTTTATAAAAATTAAGAATATATCAAAATGACGTTGACATTTCAAACCTGATGTTGTTTATAACTCGAGTAATATCGGAATTAAACGTATCATGTTTAGGTTCATTTTAAAGGATTTTTCACAACGATTACAAATATGTCAAAATTGTCATTGACATTTCTAACCGGAACTTGAGCATAACTTCATTAATATTGAAGATAAATATGTCGTGTTTGTACTTATTTTAACCTGAAGTTAGTTGTCATATAATAGACAAATGAACAACTTCATGGTGGTCTTTCATGATGTATTCTTTATTAAAAAAACCTTTGAAAGGAATTCAAACATGATGCATTTACCTCAAAAAACAAAAATTTAGAATAAAAAAAAATTACACCTGAAGTTAGCAACAATGAAGATAGCAATTTCATTTTTAAATTTTAATACCAACCTTAATTTTTGATTATTTTCATATTTTCCGGAAAATGCTTATATCTCGAGTAATATCGGAATTAAACATATCATGTTTGGGCTGATTTTAAATGATTTTTTCACGACGATTACAAATATGTCTAAATTGACGTTGACATTCTTAACCGGAACTTGACCATAACTTCATTAATTTGAAGATAAATATGTCGTGTTTGTATTCATTTTAAAGGTTTTTTAATAAAGGTTACAAATATGTCAAAATTGAGGTTGACATTTTAAACCTGAAGTTAGTTGTCATATAATAGACAAATGGACAACTTCATGGTGTTCTTTCATGATGTATTCTTTGTTAAAAAAAACTTTTAAAATGAGTCTAAACATGATGCATTTATCTCAAAAAACAAAAAAGTTAGAATAAAAAAAAATCATACCCGAAGTTAGCAACAATGATTTAATTTTTAAATATTAATACCAACCTTAATTTCTGATTTTTTTATTATATTTTTGTTTTTGTGATAAATTTTGAGACATTTTATAAAAATTAAGAATATATCAAAATGACGTTGACATTTCAAACCGGAAGTTGCTTATATCTCGAGTTATATTGGAATTAAACGTATCATGTTTGGGCTCATTTTAAAGGATTTTTCACGACGATTACAAATATGTCAAAATTGACGTTGACATTTCTAACCGGAACTTGACCATAACCTCATTAATATTGAGGATAAATATATCGTGTTTGTACTTATTTTAAAGGATTTTTAATGGAGATTGCAAATATGTCAAAAGTGAGTTGGACATTTTAAAGACGTGCGGCTAAACCCGAATATATTTTATTTTAAAAAATGTGACGTCACATCGAAACTTTAATATAATTTTTCTACACTTTTCCGTACTTTCTTTTTATTTTTAACGTACTTTTTGGGTCATTTCACATCGATTAAAAAAAAATCGTCGATTTTTGAGCCACATGATAATTCTTGAATTTTTCCCTTATTCATTTTATTGTAGGTGAAGGAACAGTTTTAAAAATTCCAGCTCAAATTGAAAATTTAGTAAGCGATCATGATTCGGAAGAGAATTTGGATGAACAAAAACTATTAAAAATGAAAGATGAAAATAAAGATAAAGCGGCAAGAAGGGCAATGAAGAAAGCCAAAAAAGAGGCTAAGAAGAAAGTTTTATTAAATCACTCACCTACTTATTCGATCGGGGCTTCTTCGCCTCGATACACCGTTGGTAGCGCTTCGCCCCGACACGGTCTCGGAAACGTTTCTCCGAGATACATGGTGAATTCGACGTGTGATATTAACGCACCTAGACGGCGAAAACACAAAGTTAAACACAAGAAGAGACATAAAGAAGTTCGAAAACATCGCGAGGAAGATGTTGAGACGACGCATGATGATCCTCCGGTTGAACAAGTTATTACGCAGAAACTTTCGATTAATTTGAAAAGATTAAATAACACGTATACGTCGTGTTCGAGTTCTGTGGAAAATGAAGATTCTGGTTCGGAGGATATAAGCGATCAAGTTCCAGATTTTCCGCCGGTTAATTCGCCAATAGTGCTTCATTTGAATGTTCAAAGTGTTTCTGGAGTAAATGGTTAATTAATTAAAAAGAAATAAGTATAATTTTGTTTTAAATAAGTTTATTTTAGGTTGTAAATTATTAGTTGGTGATGTAATTTGGGGAAAAATCCATGGATTTCCATGGTGGCCAGGAAAAATTCTTGCAATTACGAATGGGGATAATAAATGTGCCCAAGCTCATGTATCATGGTACGGATCCTCAACGTCATCTCTTATAAAATGTGATCAACTTAGTCCTTATTTAGAAAATTTCAAGGTAAATAATAAGTTTTGACGATTGATGTTAATTAATTTTGATAAATTAGGTTAGATATAATAAGAAAAAAAAGGGTCCATATAAAGAGGCAATTAAACAAGCAACAAATGATGCCAGGGAAAACGCAGAAAATCGTGTTAGAGAACAACAACAACAATCAGTTGTGGGTGGATCTCCCGCACGAACGGCATTTATAAATGTTGTCCCTCCCGCGTTGGCATCTCCACGAGAAATCGATGTGGTTTCTTAATAAATAAATAAGGAAAACGCCATAAAAAGGTAACAAAAGATTCTTTTAAAGGTCGGGTAGTTATATTATAATACAGGGTGTTGAAAAACGCTTAAAAAAAGTTTTTGCGAGCTCCCTGTGTATTGTGGTAAACAAAAAAAAAAGAATGGTCAGTCGATTTAGCCATTATTTTTACATTTAACTAATTCCTAAGTGTGTCTGTATATTTACGATAAAATACGGTGAAAAACAATGAGAGAAAAGTTACTTATTTTAATGATCTGTTTATTATTTCTTTTGCTAAGAAAGTTACTTAATCTTTTTCTCATTTATGTTCTGTTGATATTTGCCCTTCATAATTTAATTTAATAATACTAAAGTTTTTTTGAAGTTGTTTTCGATTGGAGGAGTTTATGGGGATTTAAAATTTATATATCTTTTTGTGATACGCATTAATTAATTAATAACTTGAGTTTTGGAGCACTATTTAGTTCATTTACTTTAAATCTAGGCTATTTTACGTTTATTGTCCGTTACAATAATCAATATATCTGTGATTTTTCATTTAGATTTAGCCATAGTGTTGTATAAATTTAATAAAAATACTATTTGGTATAAATGTTAAAACGTTTCGTTTTACGATTACCTAAAACTTTCCTTATATTAAATTGAATCGTTTATTTCAGAAATTGGCTAAGTAACATTTTTGACAATTTTTAAATAAGATTATCTAGTTTCTAACATTTATTGTGGAGAGAGAATATCCATTTTGTCAGTTTGACAGCTAAAATGACTGAATGAAATTGATTCCATAAATTTAATTATTTAAATAAATTTTTGAATAAAGTTTAAACGTCAATGTAACACAAATTCAATGTTACCAACTGTAACCAACTTCACACCAATTTGTAAAAATTAAATGTCAATTTTATGAAACGTCATGGTTTTTTTTTTACGAAAATTAATTAATTTATGCTTAAATCATACAAAAAAGGAATTTGTTTACGTTTTTTTAATGTCAAACTTTTAGAAAGTCGTAAAAAAATTAAATTAAATTAACATTTTTTGAAATTTTGACGTTTCAAATAATTATTAGTCTGTCAACTTGATTACCAGTGAATAATGATTTTCAAGCTATACATAGAATTTAATACTAAAGATGAACAATATATTTACTTATAAGGCCTTTTAGAAATGCATGAAGTTCAAAGGAGATCTAAACCCAAAAGCGCAACAATGCAGAGACAAAAAAGTTATTATTTTCTCAAAAATTAAGTTATTTTTCAAAATGGGTTGGTTCATTGGAAAGAGGACACTTTTATTAACACTTTGGAAAATTTTCATACTATTATTCAAAGAACTGGATTTTATACGAATTTTTAAAAATTGCAAAATTCGAAAAAATTGTCGATTATTTCAAAAATGTATTTCTCAACAACTGAAAGTGATTTTTCAAAACGGCTTTTTGCATTAAAAAGAGGATACTTTAATTAATAATTGGTGATATTTCCGCAATGATCCTTCACGAAATTAATTTTATAGCGAATTATGAAAGTTATCGATGAAAATTGTAATATCGAAAATTTTATCAAAACTTCAAATATTGTTTTCTCAAAAACTAAAAGTTATTTTTCAAAATGAGTTAGTTCATTGGAAAGAAGACACTTTTATTAACACTTTGGGAAATTTTCATACTCATATTCCAAGAAATGGATTTTATAGGAATTTTTAAAACTCAATCGGCGAAAATTGACAAATTTGAAAAAATTATCGATCATTTCAAAAATTTATTTCTCAAGAACTAAAAGTGATTTTTCAAAACGGCTTGTTGCATTAAAAAGAGGATACTTTAATTATTAACAATCGAAAGTGATGATAACAGCGACAGTTTACATAAAGTTTCTGGACATCTTCTGGAAATCTTTAAAACTGTTTAGAAAGCGTTTAAACACTATTTGATAATTGTAGAGACCATTAGAAAGCTTCTGCATACTTTTGAACATCTTTAAAGGCCTTTAGTTAATTACTAGAAGTAGAACTAATACTCGACCTAGAAGTAGAAACATTCGGGTTTAGCCGTCTTGAGAGACGAATGGCTAAAGCCGAGTGATTCTAGTTCTAGTGACAATGTTAAGTAGTGCTAGTAAGCACTAGACCTAGAAACATTCGGGTTTAGCACAAACTTTCTAGTTCTAGTTTTAATTGTTATTCAGTGCCAGATTGTTCTATATCTTTATTGAACTAACACACTAGATTTAAAACTAGAAACATTCGGGTTTAGCCGTTTTGAGATGAACGAAAAATCATTAAAAATTTCTGGACATCTTTAAAAATCTTCTAGAAATCTTTATAACTGTCTAGAAAGCGCTTAAACACTATTTGATAATTATACAGACTATTAGAAAGCTTTTGAACATCTTTCTCTTCGAGTTTTAATTATTATTTAGCAATTTTGCATTAAAAAGATACTTTAATTAATAATCGAATGTGATGATGAATTATAAGCGAATAGAAGGAAACTAGATGAAACTGCAACAAGAAATTTTATATATCGTATTGGGATTGTTATAATGAGGTTGCTAAAGACAAACTTGATATAAATAAAGTTGTATTCAATGAAAAAAGTCCTATTGAGGTTGAACTTAATAGTTTGACTGAGAAGTCATATTTGTAGAGATAAATACGAAAATCTCGTTTTTCTCAATATTGTTCATTTGTTGTCTTAATCAAGTGATGCATAACGCGGTCCAATTAAATTCTATGATAAGTAAACATAAAGAAATAAACGATTCAATTAGAAAAAAAATTAAACAAAAATTAATTTTTTCCATTTTTTTATTATTAAATACAAATGAACGTCAAAGATTTAAGAAGCGTCCACAGCGGCAGCTGTTTCTTCAGTATATTTACCCTTATCTTTACCAAGGGCAAGTGCACGTCCTTTACTCCTCCTATCGATAATCTTCTTCCTATCTTTATCCATTTTCAGTTTTACAATTACAACCTAAAAAATAAAATTAAATCAATTAATTCATTTTTATTAATTTATATTTAAATGATATGAATTGATTATTAGAAAGAATCAGAGCCACAAATTACACCAATATAATGAGTAGAAAATAACCCTCTTCCATTAAAAAGAGAACCTTAATAATTTCCAAGGAATTAAATTCTTGAAACTCATCGTCTGAGAATGGTTTAAATCATCACATGAATTTATTATATGAGATATAAAAAATAATCTAAATAGAACGTACTTTTGATGGATGAATACCAACGTAAACACTAGCTCCATTAGCTTTCTCCCTTTGAATTCGTTCAATGTAAATAACGAATTTTTTCCTGTAAACTTGTACCACTTTACCTACTTGTTGCCCTTTAAAATGACCACGTACAACCTAAAATTAATTACTTACATTTAATACAATAAAGTCTATGTACACCCCAGAAAATGATAATATCTCAGCATTTTAACCCTTTGTGACCCAATGGTACTTTAAAGTACCGGTTTTTACAAGAAGAAAGGTTGTCTGTATAAAAAATGACGCAACCCGCACTGTAGGGTTTTTAGGTATATTTAAATTTATTCATCCAGATGTGAAGTTAAAAGTTTAGTGCAAAAGGTATCTCTTTGATAAACAATGTACACTATTGAGATTGATGTAAAAATGAGCCAAGCGAATACAGATACGTTTCGGTACTTGAACAAAGCTTGATGAAGAATTTTTAGTTGAGACTGAAAAAGTTTGTTTTGAATTAAAAAATCTCCCGTTAGATAATTCTGAACAGACAGACATAGAAGATGAAGAAGATGACATTGTTATTACTAGTACTAGTCTTCTTGGAAAATTGTTATGGAATTATCACCAATTACTAATTAAAGCATCTACTTTCCAATGATCAAGTCCGTTTCGAAATATCACTCTTAGTTCTTGAGATATAAATTACTGGAGTGAATTAGAAATCTTAACCATGCTTTGAGTAACTTTAAAAATTCATGAAAAATCGATCTCTTGGGAAATTGATATGGAATTATCACCAATTACTAATTAAAGCATCTATTTTCCAGTGATCAAGTCCGTTTTGAAATATCACTCTTAGTTCTTGAGATATAAATTGCTAGAGTTAATTAGAAATCTTAACCATGCTTTGAGTAACTTTAAAAATTCATGAAAAATCGATTTCTTGGGAAATTGATATGGAATTATCACCAATTACTAATTAAAGCATCTATTTTGCAGTGATCAAGTCCGTTTTGAAATATCTCTCTTAGTTCTTGAGATATAAATTGCTAGAGTTAATTAGAAATCTTAACCATGCTTTGAGTAACTTTAAAAATTCCTGAAAAATCGATTTCTTGGGAAATTGATATGGAATTATCACCAATTACTAATTAAAGCATCTATTTTGCAGTGATCAAGTCCGTTTTGAAATATCTCTCTTAGTTCTTGAGATATAAATTGCTAGAGTTAATTAGAAATCTTAACCATGCTTTGAGTAACTTTAAAAATTCCTGAAAAATCGATTTCTTGGGAAATTGATATGGAATTATCACCAATTACTAATTAAAGCATCTATTTTGCAGTGATCAAGTCCGTTTTGAAATATCTCTCTTAGTTCTTGAGATATAAATTGCTAGAGTTAATTAGAAATCTTAACCATGCTTTGAGTAACTTTAAAAATTCCTGAAAAATCGATTTCTTGGGAAATTGATATGGAATTATCACCAATTACTAATTAAAGCATCTATTTTCCAGTGATCAAGTCCGTTTTGAAATATCACTCTTAGTTCTTGAGATATAAATTGCTAGAGTTAATTAGAAATCTTAACCATGCTTTGAGTAACTTTAAAAATTCATGAAAAATCGATTTCTTGGGAAATTGATATGGAATTATCACCAATTACTAATTAAAGCATCTATTTTCCAGTGATCAAGTCCGTTTTGAAATATCACTCTTAGTTCTTGAGATATAAATTGCTAGAGTTAATTAGAAATCTTAACCATGCTTTGAGTAACTTTAAAAATTCATGAAAAATCGATTTCTTGGGAAATTGATATGGAATTATCACCAATTACTAATTAAAGCATCTATTTTCCAGTGATCAAGTCCGTTTTGAAATATCACTCTTAGTTCTTGAGATATAAATTGCTAGAGTTAATTAGAAATCTTAACCATGCTTTGAGTAACTTTAAAAATTCATGAAAAATCGATTTCTTGGGAAATTGATATGGAATTATCACCAATTACTAATTAAAGCATCTACTTTCCAGTGATCAAGTCCGTTTTGAAATATCACTCTTAGTTCTTGAGATATAAATTACTGGAGTTAATTAAAAATCTTAACCGTGCTTTGAATAACTTTAAAAATTCCTGAAAAATCGATTTCTTGGGAAATTGTTATGGAATTATCACCAATTACTAATTAAAGCATCTACCTTCCAGTAATCAAGTCCGTTTTGAAATATCACTCTTAGTTCTTGAGATATAAATTATGGAGTTAATTAGAACTCTCTTTGAGTAACTTTAAAAATTACTGAAAAATCGATTTCTTGGGAAATTATTACCAATTACTAATTAAAGCATCTACTTTCCAGTGATCAAGTCCGTTTTGAAATATCACTCTTTGTTCTTGAGATATAAATTATGGAGTTAATTAGAAATCTCTTTGGTTAACTTTAAAAATTCCTGGAAAATCGATTTCTTGGGAAATTGTTATGGAATTATCACCAATTACTAATTAAAGCATCTATTTTCCAGTGATCAAGTCCGTTTTGAAATATCACTCTTAGTTCTTGAGATATAAATTGCTAGAGTTAATTAGAAATCTTAACCATGCTTTGAGTAACTTAAAAAATTCCTGAAAAATCGATTTCTTGGGAAATTTTTATGGAATTATCACCAATTACTAATTAAAGCATCTACTTTCCATTGATCAAGTCCGTTTTGAAATATCACTCTTAGTTCTTGTGATATAAACTACTGGAGTTAATTAGAAAGTGACACTGAAGTAGTACAAATAAGTGGCAAAGGGCCCAAGAAGAAGAACAAGGCAGAAATTGATAGAAAATAGAGAAAATGGGAAAAACTAACTGAAATTTCAGGATACGATTATCCAGAGGAAATAATTGCTGATTTGTGCGCCACCCAAAGGAATAAAACGCAAAATTTGAAAGAAAAAGGGTTGCTGTGTTTTCTTGGCATAAATTTCTTAATGAGTTATCACAGTTTGCTAAGCTATAAACCCGTCTGGAGTAATGCTGAAGACTTGGCTGTACCACTTGTCATACGAATAATGGCCCATAACAGGTTTCAGGAAATTTTATCATAAAATTTTGAAACACTTAACCATCAGTTCCCCAGTTTATTATCATGGCACTAGGCAGTTGGTTGTGGATGAATCCATGATAATCTTCAAACGGAGGTGAAGTATGAATTAATTCAATCCCATGAAGCCCATAAAAAGAGGTTATAAGCTTTGGTGCTTAGCAGATAAGAAAGGGTACATAAAGAAATAAAGAAAATCTCCTGAAACAGAAGAAAAATTTGAAGATTATGGATTAGCTGAAAGGATTGTCCTTCAACTTACTGAAGATGAGTGAAAAAAAATAAAATAGAATGGCTTTTTGACCAGTGTTTAAAATCCACACTAATTATCATACAGTTATTGGACATTGGAACAGTTTACCCTTTTAGGTTAGAAACGCTAAACTGACTACATTGCGCATTTTTATAGACCAGTGGTGTCCATAACGTCGATCGCGATCGACTCTGAAATATCTAATATCTGGGCCTCAGAGCAAAAAAAAAAGGAAGGTTACTTTAAACCCTTCGGTCGATCTTGGCAAGACATTTATATAAAAAGTCGATTTTGATCAAAAAATAGTGAACACTACTGCTCTAAATCGATTAAACGTCAAAATTGTTGATTTTCGAAAATTAACTCAATCATAACTCAAAAACTAAAAGCGATGGGGAAATATTTTTTGTACATAAAACCTTAGTAATGGATCATAAAGACTAGATCTATAAAAAGATTGAACCCAATTATAACCGTTCTTTATTTAGTAGCTTTAAATCGACTAAAAATCAACATTGTTGATTTTCGAAAATTAACTCAATTATAACTCAAAAACTAAAAGTGATGGGGAAATATTTTTTATACATAAACCTTAGTAATGGACCATAAAGACTAGATCCATAAAAAGATTGAACCCAATTATTACCATTTTTTATTTATAANAGCATCTACTTTCCAGTGATCAAGTCCGTTTTGAAATATCACTCTTTGTTCTTGAGATATAAATTATGGAGTTAATTAGAAATCTCTTTGGTTAACTTTAAAAATTCCTGGAAAATCGATTTCTTGGGAAATTGTTATGGAATTATCACCAATTACTAATTAAAGCATCTATTTTCCAGTGATCAAGTCCGTTTTGAAATATCACTTTTAGTTCTTAAGATATAAATTACTGGAGTTAATTAGAAATCTTAACCGTGCTTTGAGTAACTTTAAAAATTCCTGGAAAATCGATTTCTTGGGAAATTGTTATGGAATTATCACCAATAACCAATTGAAGCATCCACTTTCCAGTGATCAAGTCCGTTTTGAAATATCACTCTTAGATCTTGAGATATAAATTATGGAGTTAATTAGAAATCTCTTTGAGTAACTTTAAAAATTCCTGGAAAATCGATTTCTTGGGAAATTATTATGGAATTATCACCAATAACCAATATCACTCTTAGTTCTTGAGATATAAACTACTGAAGTTAATTAAAAAATTGGAAAGTGACACTGAAGTAGTACAAATAAGGGCCCAAGAAGAAGAACAAGGCAGAAATTGATAGAAAATAGAGAAAACTAGAAAAACAAACTAAAATTCCAGGATACAATTATCCATAGGAAATAATTGCCGATACTTTTGCAACTTGCAATAATCCTACAGATTATTTTCTAACACTGATGGGTAACTGTGTGAAAGATATTACTTTTCAAACTAATTTGTGCGTCACCCAAAGGAATAAAACGCTAAATTTGAAAGAGGAAGGGTTGCTGTGTTTGCTTGGCATAAATTTCTTAATGAATTATCACAGTTTGCTAAGCTATAAACTCGTCTGGAGTTATGCTGAAGACTTGGGTGTACCACTTGTCATAGGAATAATGGCCCATAACAGGTTTCAGGAGATTTTATCATATCTGCATGTTTATCATACAATTTTGAAACAGTTAATCATCAATTTCCCAGTTTATTATTAAGTATGAAGCAATTCAATCCCATGAAGCCCATAAAAAGGGGTTATAAGCTTTGGTGCTTAGCAGATAAGAAAGGTTACATAAAGAAAATCTCCTGAAACAGAAGAAAAATTTCAAGATTATGGATTAGGTGAAAGGATTGTCCTTCAACTTACTGAAGATGAGTGAAAAAAAAAAATAAATAGAATGGCCTTTTGGTCAGTGTTTAAAATACACATTGGACATTGGAACAGTTTATCCTTTTAGGTTAAAAACGCTAAACTGACTACATTGTGCATTTTTACAGACCATAAACTACATTTTGGAGTTGGATAATAATCATAACTTAATTTAATGTTTCACAATTAACATTACAGATGATCTTAATAATCCTAAACATTCAATGAAGATAGTTAAGGAATGATTGTTGTATAATGTTCCAAACCAATTATATTTCTCACCTAAGTCGCCTGATCAAAACCCCATAGAACATTTATGGGATGAAATTGATTTTATCATTTATGAGATAAAATTTTGAAAAAGTGGGAGAAAATATTGATGTACTGTTGATGCAAAATTGTATTAGAGCAGAAAGGTAGACCAAGATGATGCAAACACTTTTGTGTGATCAAAAAAAGTACATAATTTATCATTGTTATCTTTTTTAATTCTTATTACAAGTACATATTTTAATTTGAAATCATTATTAATCCTTGAAAATATCTAAAATGTTTCATAACAATAAATAAACGTTTATTTTATTCATAAATACGAATTTCTGGCCTGTATGAAAATTTTTCATGACTAAGTATAAACTTCTAATATCCTTAGTTTAAAAATTTCATCAAATTGCATTTCAGAAACTGAGATATCATTTTCTTTGGTTTTTATTGTATCACTGTATATAAAGATCCTAACTTACCTGTACTTCATCGTCTTTTCTAATCGGCATACTTCTAACATTGTACTTTTGTCTCAATTCTTTCGATAAAGGCGATGACATCAAAGTGCGTCTAACATGCGAAGGAGCGGTGAAATGACGCTTCCTATTTTTACTACGCGATGAGGACACTAATTTATTAAGTTTCATCTTGATGAAGTTGCTTTGGTGCTCCTAAAAAATAAATTAATGTGGAAATGTCAACTAACATGGAAATTTGAGGTTATGTTGTTTTCGATTTTTCATCAAAAATTAATGATTATAATTAAAATGCGGGGGGATTTTAATCGTAAGGGGTCGATATTGATGATTTAAGGATAATTTGATGTTGTTTTTTGAGTTTAAATTGAGGATGATTGAGGATTTAAGATTTAAAGATTCCTTACCGACAGCAACAACACACACGAAAAACGGAAAGAGAGTTAAGTTAGTTGCGGTTGGTGAAAATTGATTGTGTTACCAACCTAAAAAAAATTTAAAATGAAAAGTAACTAAATTTAATTTTTTTTTATAAAATTACAAATTTAATTAATTTTGAGATTTAATTATTAAAATTGGGCGAAATTAATGATTAATTAATTAATATAACACTTATTTTACAAAATTAATTTTTACTTCATCGGATTAATTAATTAATTGAGATGAAATTTTTAATTAAAAAATTAATTTTTTGTAATAATGCATTAATTATTACAAAAAATTCGATTCAAAAATAAATCCCCACTTTCAATTTATAGAAAACCGGCTTTAAAGTGGGCTTAATGACCTTGTTGTTGAGATAGAGATGGAAAAAACTTTTCAACAGCACCGCTTAGACTTAGATAAAGATTTATTCAGCTTCAGTTCATCATCAGATTTTCGCGAAGAACGTTTCAAAAAATTTTTATTTCAAAAATGAATAGTTTCAGGCATATTTTAACGCATAAAGTAAGTTTGAAGATAAAGAATTCGCCTCTAAAAAGTTATCCATATGTTTTAATTTTATTATTTAGGGATCCTCCTCGATTGCTACAAGATGTGCCCGAAATTTTTTAACAACGTCGAAACAATTCCAATCCACCGAAGCTGCCGTTTCCGGTCATTTACCGGTAACGTTTTTAAGCGATGATGAGCAAATGATGAAGGAAACTGGTGATTATAACAAAAAAGACGATTTAAAAGCATTTTTAACATTTTCTATTTAGTTTCTAGATTAGCAAAGGAACAGATTGCTCCTCACGTGAGGGAAATGGAAAATAATCACAAAATCAAACCGGAAGTTCTTAAAATGTTATTTGATAACGGGGTAAGTTTAAATTAAAAAAATTTTAACGACTTGTTTAGTGAAGACGAAAAAAGTTAGATTGGATCAAGTCCAAAGTATTTCACGGACGTAAATGCCCCTGAAAAAGTTAAATTCAAAGGTGCAAAGAGTAAAAGTTAAAAATTTCCTTTTAAAAAAGAAAAATTTTTATAATTTTAGTAGTTATTGTTTTGACCTTGAAAAAGTAAACGTTACGTTGAGCAGTTAAAGATAGCGTGATAAGAATGTTTTATTAATATTTATTTTTAGTTTAAGAGAAATACTTTTAAAATTGATTCTTCAAACATTTAAAGATTGTCAATTAACGTTTTACTTGATAAAAAGATCCAAAGATTATGATATCAATTTTTAGAATTTCAGATAAACACCCATAAAAGTTCTAATTCGATTTAAAAAAAAGTAAATAAATAAAACGAATCTTACAGAAAAATTAAATTAATATGTCAAGTCATCGTTTATAAGATAACAAAGACCTTTACACTTAATAATACACAATTCAATTTTTTTTGGTACTCTTTTTGTAAATTTATTAAGAACAAATCAAATGGTAATTAAGCTTAAATCTCTTCTTCTTTAAGGAGGATCCTTCAAGACATGAATTTTATAGCGAATTTTCAAAGTTATCGATGAAAATTGCAACATCAAAAATTTGATCAAAACTTCAAATATTGTTTTCTCAAAAACTAAAAATTATTTTTCAAAACGGGTTGGTTGATTGGAAAGAGGACACTTTCATTAACACTTTGGGAAATTTTCAAACTCATATTCCAAGAAATGGATTTTATACGAATTTTTAAAACTTAATCGGCGAAAATTGCAAAATTCGAAAAAATTGTCGATTATTTCAAAAATTTATTTCTCAAGAACTAAAAGTGATTTTTCAAAACGGCTTTTTGCATTAAAAAGAGGATACTTTAATTAATAATTGGTGATATTTCCACAAGGATCCTTCAAGAAATTAATTTTATAGCGAATTTTGAAAATTATCGATGAAAATTGCAACATCGAAAATTTTATCAAAACTTCAAATATTGTTTTCTCAAAAACTAAAAGTTATTTTTCAAAGCGGGTTGGTTCATTGGAAAGAGCACACTTTTATTAACATTTTGGAAAATTTTCGAACTTATATTCCAAAAACTGGATTTTATACGAATTTTTAAAACTTAATCGGTGAAAATTGCAAAATTCGAAAAAATTGTCGATCATTTCAAAAATTTATTTCTCAAGAACTGAAAATGATTTTTCAAAACAGCTTATTGCATTAAAAAGAGGATACTTTAATTAACAATCGAAAGTGATAACAGCGACAGTTCTGTAACAACATAAAGTTTCTCGACACTTCTGGACATCTTTAAAAATGTTCTGGAAATCTTTATAACTTTTTAATAATTATAGAGACCATTAGTAAGCTTCTGGATACTTTTGAACATCTTACTCTTCGAGTTTTAATTATTATTTGGTAATAGATTGTTGTATATTTTTATTGAACTAAAAGTAGAACTAATCTAAATTCTTAGAACTTGTAGTTTTTTTCAATGAGTTAGACTTTCTCTGCTATGAATACTATATATGAGCCTGCTCACTTTGCTGCGACNAAATTGTCAATCATTTCAAAAATTTTTTTCTCAAGAACTAAAAGTGATTTTTCAACACGGCTTGTTGCATTTAAAAGAGGATACTTTAATTAACAATCGAAAGTGATAACAGCGACAGTTCTGTAACAACATAAAGTTTCTGGACATCTTTAAAAATGTTCTGGAAATCTTTATAACTGTCTAAAAAGCGTTCAAACACTTTTTAATAATTATAGAGACCATTAGTAAGCTTCTGGACACTTTTGAACATCTTTCTCTTTGAGTTTTAATTATTATTTGGTAATAGATTGTTGTATATTTTTATTGAACTAAAAGTAGAACTAATCTAAATTCCTAGAACTTGTAGTTTTTTTTAATGAGTTAGCCTTTCTCTGCTATGAATGCTATATATGAGCCTGCTCACTTTGCTGCGACAAAGGACTTAATTCTTGCTGAAGCGTCGATGTCTTTGTCTTGGCAGAGACTTGGCTATATCCTGGAAATGATTATTCCTTATTTTGTATCAAGCACTGCTTTCATTTTTTTACAAGTCGAATAACGCGTACTGTTGGAGATGTTGGCATTTATGTTAGGGATGGATAACGGTGTTGAGGTGGTGATGAATGAGGTTCTTTACTTTATTGAGCAGTTATGGGTACGGATACGATTTGGAAGTTATTGAAACTGTTATTAAAGGAAGGAATATTGGCAGGGCCACGGTTCTTGTTCTGCAACATTACTTAATGAATCATTAGAGAGTTTCTTTTGGTGGTGACTGGTCTGATGAGGCTGTTGTGTTGTCTGGCGTTCCTCAGAGATCTATCTTAAGTCCAATTTTCTACTTAATTTATACTAGTAATCTTTTTGATGTGTTGCATCACTTCTTAATCCTTATTGTTCATGGTTGTCACATTCCAGAAGCCTAATCTGAGTGATTTTTAGAATCAAGTCCTTTTTCGTGCCGCGTCGTCAACTATTTTATTATACTCAATTAATTTATTTATACTCAATCCACCCATACTTCCTCGTAGGCAGAGTTCAAATAACAAGCTTAATATAATTAATTAATTTAATTAAATAATGCTTTTAATGATGTAAACAAATAAGCGCCATCTATTAATGAGCAGCATCACCTGTCAAAGTGACATTTAAATTGTCAAGCGTTATGTCAGATTATTAACTTATCTCAGTTTCTTGAGGATTTAAGCAAGGATTTAAAATGATTTAATATAATTAATATCCAAAAATGTTTAATTGTAATACATATTTATATTTCAGCTAATGGGAATTGAAATTGATAACGAATACGGCGGATCTGGTTGTAATTTTATGACCGCCGTTCAAGTTGTTGAAGAAATTTCGAAAGCTTGTGCCGGAGTTGGAGCTTTAGTAGACATCCATAACACTCTATCAAATCCGGTGATGCAAAATTACGGTACAAAAGAGCAAAAGGAAAAGTATTTGCCAAGGATGGCTACCGATATGGTAAGTACTAAAAAATTATGTTAAATGTTATATTTTGTAATCTAAAATTCTTTTTTATTATCGCAAAGTAGGTGAAACAAAACGTTTTTAAACTTTTAAGTGTTATGTGAGATAAGATGAAATGTGTTCCGAACGAAAAGTAAATATTAAATTTAGCGTTTTCTGTTTGTACAGAAAAACCTATGAACCCCAACGAAAATAACGTGACTCGGTCGCGAGCGGTTCAAAAATAGTTTAAATCTAAATTTTCAACTAGAACTTATAAACGAACATCGTTGAAGGTCATCTCATTAGAAACACGTGGCTCTCACCCGATCGATAATTTGTTGTTAATAAATTAGTATTTTCCGCATGAATAATATTTATTCTCATTAATTTTAATGCAATAGCAATAATAATTAATGATTAATTACAAAAATAAATTAATTTTTTTTGTTTACAAGTGAAGTTAGTTACAATTAATTTTGAATTTTGACATTTTAACATTTTTAGGTTAATTCTTTTTAAATTTTAGGTAGCAAGTTTCGCATTAACGGAGCCATCGTCGGGATCAGACGCTTTCGCTTTAAAAACGACCGCAAAAAAAGATGGAAAAGATTGGGTTTTAAACGGAAGTAAAATGTGGATATCTAATTCCGATTTAGCAGGAGTTTTCTTAGTTTTCGCTAACGCAAATCCATCAGCTGTAAGTTTCTTTAATCCGTGTTAAAATTAATTCTAATTGATTTAATTTTTTTTAAGGGTTACAAAGGAATAACTTGTTTCATCGTTGACAGAGACACCCCGGGTTTTACCGTAAACAAACCAGAAAATAAATTGGGAATTTGTTGTTCGGGAACTTGTATGTTAACATTCGATAATGTTCGTATACCTGAGTCTAATATGCTCGGCGAATTCGGGCAAGGTTATAAAATTTCAATCTCCGTTTTGAACGAAGGAAGAATTGGAATTGCAGCTCAAATGTTGGGTTTATCCCAAGGATGTTTTGACGCGACGATTCCTTACACGCTGGAACGTCAACAATTTGGCCAAAACATTTTTAGCTTCCAAGGGATGCAACATCAAATTGCCGATATTGCTACTCAAATTGAATCGGCTCGATTATTAACGTACAACGCCGCCCGACTAAAAGAAGCCGGAAAACCGTTCATTAAAGAAGCCGCTATGGCTAAATATTACGCTTCGGAAGTTGCTCAAAGGGTTACGATTAAATGTATTGATTGGATGGGCGGAGTTGGATTCACTAAAGATTTTATCCAAGAGAAATATTATAGAGATTGTAAAATCGGGAGCATTTATGAAGGCACTACTAATATGCAATTATCTACGATTGCTAAAATGATCGAAAAGGAATACAAATAAGCAATTATTTTTATATTAGATTTTATAAGAAGAAATTAATACTTAAGATTAATTGAAAATAATTAAAATGTATGCTATTTTTTTGTATGCAATAAAATTAATAAAAAATCATTTTTGATTAATATTGTGGCGCCATCTATTAGCAGAATTTTTATTTAATATTTGAAGCGCAACAAAAAGTGAGGTTAAGTTTGAGGGTCAAAGTATAACTTAACTTAACTCCCCACCATTGCAATGTACAGCGAAACTTGATTATTAAAAATAATCCAAATCATTCTGCTTTGATCTTTGCAACTTTTTAAAGATAAGTAAATCTTTTTAAGGTATAATTGGACGATTATACAACCAAAAATTTTATTTGTTTCACTTCGTCTTTAAAATAACACAAAAAATAACGTAAGAAAATGAATAATCTTCAAAGATTTTGCTTAAAAACTCCGGTAAGTAGATCATTTTGTTCTATTATTAATATTTATGGCTTAAAAATCGACGATTTTATTTTCAATCAGTATCGGGTTTAGCGAATGTTTCTAAGTTTAATGTTAGTTCTAGTGACAATGGTGATTAGTTAGCATAAGATATCACTATGTTGCATATTTTTGTTAGACTAAAACTAGAACTAATGTTTAAACGTCTTCTTCTTCTATAATGGGCTTGGATATGGGATTTGGAATGTTTAAACAATGTGACACAAATTCAATGTTAACTGTAACTAACTTCATAACAATTTGTCAAAATTAAATGTCAATTTTATGAAACGTCATGGTTTTTTACGAAAATTAATTAATTTATGCTAAAATCATACGAAAAAAGGACTTTGTTTACGTTTTTTTAATGTCAAATCTTTAGAGAGTGCTAAAAAATTATAAAAAACGTTATAAAACTTCTATTATATGACAACTAACTTCTAGTGATATTTTCTGGTGATTTTTCCTAGTGTAAATCTGACTTTCGCGTTTACTCCTCCTGGTTTAAAACCAGAGTATAGTCTAACTTTTTTGCTTTTAGAGATAAGTGCGTCCCGTTTGGACCCATTTTAAAGGTTTTTGTAATAAAGAATACATCATGAAAGAACACCATGAAGTTGTCCATTTGTCTATTATATGACAACTAACTTCAGATTTAAAATGTTAACCTCAATTTTGACATATTTGTAATCTTCATTAAAACACCTTTAAAATGAATACAAACACGACATATTTATGTTCAATATTAATGAAGTTATGGTTAAGTTCCGGTTAGAAATGTCAACGTCAATTTTGACATATTTGTAATCATCGTGAAAAATCCTTTAAAATGAGCCCACACATCATACGTTTAATTCCAATATTACTCGAGATATAAGCAACTTCCGGTTTGAAAATGTCAACGTCATTTTGACATATTCTTAATTTTTATAAAATAACAAAAATATAATAAAAAAAAATCAGAAATTAAGGTTGGTATTAATATTTAAAAATTAAATTGCTATCTTCGTTGTTGCCAACTTCGGGTTTAACATTTTTTCTTCTAACTTTTTTGTTTTTTGAGATAAGTGCGTCATGTTTGGACTCATTTTAAAGGTTTTTCAATGAAGATGGCAAATATGTCAAAATTGACGTTGACGTTTCAAACCGGAAGTGATTGTATTTCCATTAATTTTAAAGTTAAATATGTCGAGTTTGGACTCATTTTAAAGGATTTTTTATGAAGTTGACAAATATGTCAAAATTAAAAGTTGACAGTTCGAACTTTTTGGTTTTTTGAGATAAATGCGTTGAACCGAGAACTAGAAACATTCGGATTTAGTCCCACGTCCCTCAAGACCGCTAAACCCGAATGATTTTAGTTCTAGTGATAGTGTAAAACTAGAACTAACACTAGACATAGAACTAGAAAGTTACTTAGAAAGTGACGTCACTTCGAAACTTTATACCAAACATTCTTGTAGAAATCGTTATTTCAAGTAAATAAATGGAAAAATGTAAGATTTGAATCAACATCTAATCAACATCTTCCTATAACTTTTTTAACCGAAGAAGAACAAGCAATGAAAGACACCGGTAGTAAAAACATTAAATTTAATACATTTATATTATATTGAAATAACTTTCTGATTTAGTTGCAAAATTTGCAAAAGAACAAATTGCACCATACGTACGTGAAATGGAAGAAGCTGGAAAACTACGACCATCACTCGTCGAGGCTTTATTTAATAACGGAGTAAAAAAAAATTATTTTATTTGATACATTTAATCAAAATTGCGCATTTTAGTTAATGGGATTAGAAATATCTCCGGAATATGGCGGATCCGGAGCTAATTTTATGTCAACGATTCAAGTTATCGAAGAAATTTCAAAAGTCGATCCTGGTGTAACAATTTTAGTCGAAGTACATAACACTTTAGTAACAGCGATGCTTCAATTATATGGAAGCAAAGAACAAAAAGATAAATATTTAACAAAATTAGCCACAAACATGGTTTCTAGTTTCGCTTTAACGGAATCCGGCTCCGGCTCGGACGCTTTCGCGTTAAAAACAACCGCGAAAAAGGATGGAAATGATTATGTTATAAACGGCACGAAAATGTGGATTTCATCATCCGATATAGCTGAGTTCTTTATTGTTTTTGCCAACGCTAATCCGGCTTCGGTAAAATTCTTTTTAATGATTAAAATATTAATTTAATTGAATTATTTGTAGGGTTATAAAGGAATAACTTGTTTTATCGTGGATAGAAACACCCCCGGATTTACAATAAATCGGCCAGAAAAAAAATTGGGGCTCCGTTGTTCCGGAACTTGCACCTTAACCTTCGATAACGTTCGTGTCCCCCAAACGAATGTTTTAGGGGAAGTCGGGAAAGGTTACAAATACGCAATTTCATTATTAAATCGGGGAAGAATTGGAATTGCCGCGCAACAATTAGGGATAGCTCAAGGTTGTTTTGATGCAACGATTCCTTATTTATTTGAACGGAAACAATTTGGGCAAAAAATTTTTGATTTTCAGGTACTAATTGATTACACTGATTGACAAAAATGAACTTGTAATTTGTCGCATGCATTCTTTTTGGCATTTTTGACTTTATTTAGACTCCCTAAGGTGGAAAATAGGTGTAGAAACATTTTGGCACCCATATTTCTTTTGTGACTTGAAAATATGTTTTTTAAAACTAAAAACTATGATTTTATGGAGTATTTGGCTTGAAGCTGGTGTCTTGCAAGCGTCCAACAAAAATCTTCCAACATACAAGGACTCCATTTGCCTTGGTATTGTTTTTTCATGCTGGAAATATACTGATGAAAGTTTTCTACTCCCTAACGTCTTCTAGATTCTCAAAACCTGAACCGTTGCGATCCATGGCTTTGACAAAATTTTTTATCAGACTTTCTTGCGGTAATGATTGTTTCGATCTCTGCTGTCCCACCGACATAAAAACCAACAATACATTGTAAAACCCAGCTGCAATTCGAGAAGTACTGAAGAAATACTGAATCTATTTCCATTTTGCAAGAGTCAGCTTTTAAACTGGTTTTGCGAAAAACTGGATATAATTTATTTCTCAAAAACTGAAAGTGATTTTTCAAAACGGCTTTTTGCATTAAAAAGAGGATACTTTAATTAATAATTGGTGATATTTCCACAAAGATCCTTCAAGAAATCAATTTTATAACGAATTTTGAAAGTTATCGACGAAAATTGCAACATCGAAAATTTTATCAAAACTTCAAATATTGTTTTCTCAAAAATTAAAAGTTATTTTTCAAAATGGGTTGGTTCATTGGAAAGAAGACACTTTTATTAACACTTTGGGAAATTTTCATACTCATATTCCAAGAATTGCATTTTATACGAATTTTTAAAACTTAATCGGCGGAAATTGCAAAATTCGAAAAAATTGTCGATCATTTCAAAAATTTATTTCTCAAGAACTAAAAGCGATTTTTCAAAACGACTTTTTGCATTACAAAGTGGAAGAAATCTAGACCAAACTGCAACTAGAGATTTTATATATCGTATCGGGATTGTTATAGTGAGGTTGCTAATGACAAACCTGATATAAATAAAGTTGTATTAAATGAAAAAAGTCCTATTGAGGTTGAACTTGTTTATTATCTGCAGTGTCCAACACCTAAAAGAGATACTAATTCATAGGCATAGTGGAGTACTAAGTAATAGATTTTTAATATCCGGCCGGATTTTAAAAAATGGCCGGGTTAGGTACTACAATACACTAAATTTTTTTCTTATGAGAAGTATTTTCTTAGTTCTTCGTCACGGTTACGAAAAAGACACAAATTCTTCGAAGAAAGAAGCTAATTCTAGTCTTTCAATCTAGATCCTAATACTACAGACTGCTTTTTTGACAATTTTAAGTCGAACCAGATCGTTAAGATCAGCTTGAGTTAGGAAAGAGGTTCCTTGCCTTCTCAGGCACATAGGTTGGATCATAAATTTCATCTTCAATTGCCCTACATGAAAATAAATCGATGACATCATTTGCTGATTTGACATTGCAGGTACAAGTAAATCAGTACTATGACGAAGTGGTCGTGACGCAGAATGTATATTTGCATATTTCACAGTATGTTTTGACGCCATAGTCAAGCAAAAGTAGCAATCATATACGTGATTTACAGGCTCTGTCCAAATCATGGGTTTTCCGAAAGCCATATGTATCCAAAATATCATGATGCTACACGTAGAGCGTATATGAGGTGCCCAATACTTATCTTGAGCCACAAAGAAACCAAAATTTTTTAATTCAGTGAAATTTCGTCGCTGGCTTTTTAAAGTCAATTCACCATATACGTGGCAAAAACTGTTAGGATGATTAATACACTTCCTTTGTATGTTGAGAAACTAACAACGATTATTTTATGTATCCTAAACTCACAATTTGACACTATTTTAAAGGATAACTTATAATAGTTCATTATATTTGAAATTGATTCCATAAATTTATTTTTTAAATAAAGCTTAAACGTCAATGTGACACAAATTCAATGTTACCAACTGTAACCAACTTCACAACAATTTGTCAAAATTAAATGTCAATTTTATGAAACGTCATGTCCCTTTTGTTACACAGTAATAATTAGCATACGGAATCCATGTGACAAAAACCTTGTCAATCAGTGTTATTTAATTAATATTTATTAATTTCTGTTTAAAATCAAATTAGGGATTAAATTTTCAAGTGGCACAAATGGCTACGGAATTAGAGGCGGCACGACTATTAACTTACAACGCTGCAAGATTACAAGAATTAGGAAAGCCGTTCGTGAAAGAAGCTTCGATGGCGAAATGGACCGCGGCTGCGATGGCTCAAAAAATGACGATAAGTTGTATCGATTGGATGGGAGGGTTAGGTTTTAGCCAAGAATTCATTCAAGAAAAGTTTTATAGGGATTGCAAAGTTGGGAGTATTTACGAAGGGACTTATAATATCCAAATGAATACGATCGCAAAACATATCCGAACTGAGTATCAATAAATAAATCGCTACTAATACGTTTATTAATATTCTAAATCTATTTTTTTATGTTACATTTTTATTTTGGATCATGTGGTAGTTTAAATCCAACCATTTTAGCCGTTTCGGAAACAGTTCGTTCACCTTTTCCATGAAACTCGGCGCTAATTTTTTTTTGTAATCTCCCACTTCTCAAATAACACAAATAAGAAGTTGCCATAAACTTCATTTCTTCGTTTGCTTTGCAATATTGTTGATCTGTCAATTGGTGTTTTCGAAATTGTGATAAAATGTACCTCATGGTAAGGTTCTCATTAAGTTTTTTATTACTCGGTAGAGTATGTCGCATTTCGGAGATGATGTTTCTCAATAAAATTATGTTGTTTGAAAAACCCATCTTAAAAAAATTAATTATTGTAAATTTTTTTGTAAATTATAGTATATGCAACCAATTAGGCACCTTTTTTTAAATCACTAATTTTGAAACGTATGTACNTCGATGAAAATTGCAACATCGAAAATTTTATCAAAACTTCAAATATTGTTTTCTCAAAAACTAAAAGTTATTTTTCAAAACGGGTTGGTTCGTTGGAAAGAAGACACTTTTATTAACACTTTGGGAAATTTTCATACTCATATTCCAAGAATTGCATTTTATACGAATTTTTAAAACTTAATCGGCGAAAATTGCAAAATTCGAAAAAATTGTCGATCATTTCAAAAATTTATTTCTCAAGAACTAAAAGCGATTTTTCAAAACGGCTTTTTGCATTACAAAGAGGAAGCAATCTAGACGAAACTGCAACTAGAGATTTTATATATCGTATTGAGATTGTTATAGTGAGGTTGCTAATGACAAACCTGATATAAATAAAGTTGTATTAAATCGAAAAAGTCCTAATGGGGGTGAACTTGATTATCATCTGCAGTGTCCAACTCATAAAAGAGATACTAATTACTGTGCGTGGTGGAGTACTAAGTAATAGATTTTTAATATCCGGCAGGATTTTAAAAAATAAACTACAACACACTAAATTCTTTTCTTGTGAGAAGTATTTTGTTAGTTCTTCGTCACGGCTACAAAAAAGACACAAAGTCTTCGAAGAAAGAAGCTAATTCCAGTCTTTCAGTCTAGATCCTAATACTTCAGACTACTTTTTTAACTTGAGTTAGGAATGAGGTTCCTTGCCTTCTCAGGCACATAGGTTGGATAATGAATTTCATCTTAAATTGCACTACATGAAAATAAATCGATGACATCATGATTTGGCATTGCAGGTTCAGGTAAATCAGCACTATGACGAAGTGGTCGTGATGCAGAATGTACATTTGCATATTTCACAGTATGTTTTGACGTCATATTCATTCCATGTATAATAGTCAAGCAAAAGTAGCAATCAGATACATGATCTACGCAATTTTTCCAAATCATGGGTTTTCCGAAAGCCATATGTATTCAAAATATCATGATGCTACACCATGTATCGCCTTCGTTTTGCCCAACCAATAAAATTCTTTATACATGTCGTAAAGCATATATGAGGTGCCCAATACTTATCTTGATAAGCCACAGAGAAACCAAAAGATACACGATAACACTGCTTCACCAGTTCAGTAAAATTTCGTCGCTGGTTTTTGAAACTGTTAGGATGATTAATACACTTCCTTTACATATTGAGAAACTAACAACGATTATCTTATGTATGCTAAACTCACAATTTGACACTATTTTAAAGGATAACTTATAATAACTCATTATATGTGAGTAGAGTACTATACTTTGTCCACGACTATTGAAATTGATTCCATAAATTTATTTTTTAAATAAAGCTTAAACGTCAATGTGACACAAATTCAATGTTACCAACTGTAACCAACTTCACAACAATTTGTCAAAATTAAATGTCAATTTTATGAAACGTCATGTCCCTTTTGTTACACAGTAATAATTAGCATACGGAATCCATGTGACAAAAACCTTGTCAATCAGTGTTATTTAATTAATATTTATTAATTTCTGTTTAAAATCAAATTAGGGATTAAATTTTCAAGTGGCACAAATGGCTACGGAATTAGAGGCGGCACGACTATTAACTTACAACGCTGCAAGATTACAAGAATTAGGAAAGCCGTTCGTGAAAGAAGCTTCGATGGCGAAATGGACCGCGGCTGCGATGGCTCAAAAAATGACGATAAGTTGTATCGATTGGATGGGAGGGTTAGGTTTTAGCCAAGAATTCATTCAAGAAAAGTTTTATAGGGATTGCAAAGTTGGGAGTATTTACGAAGGGACTTATAATATCCAAATGAATACGATCGCAAAACATATCCGAACTGAGTATCAATAAATAAATCGCTACTAATACGTTTATTAATATTCTAAATCTATTTTTTTATGTTACATTTTTATTTTGGATCATGTGGTAGTTTAAATCCAACCATTTTAGCCGTTTCGGAAACAGTTCGTTCACCTTTTCCATGAAACTCGGCGCTAATTTTTTTCTGTAATCTCCCACTTCTCAAATAACACAAATAAGAAGTTGCCATAAACTTCATTTCTTCGTTTGCTTTGCAATATTGTTGATCTGTCAATTGGTGTTTTCGAAATTGTGATAAAATGTACCTCATGGTAAGGTTCTCATTAAGTTTTTTATTACTCGGTAGAGTATGTCGCATTTCGGAGATAATGTTTCTCAATAAAATTATGTTGTTTGAAAAACCCATCTTAAAAAAATTAATTATTGTAAATTTTTTTGTAAATTAAAGTATAGTATATGCAACCAATTACGCATCTTTTTTTAAATCACTACTTTTGAAACATATGTACGTTTTATTAGTTTATAGATATATGTAGTAACTATTGTTACTTTACTTTAAAATCGTTTATTAAAAATAACATATATATAACTACGCCTCAACTTTATTGCTAACATAACTTTAACTTGACTTATGACAGTTATGACTCTTTCTCCTACTACTAGATGGCGTAACCATATATGACAAATTTAATCAAATTTTTATAAAAGCAGTTAATTCATTTTTAATTTTAACAAAGTAATTTAATATAAATTTTTTGTAATAAATTCTAAATCGTTTGAGTTATACTCAGGCTCCTTCTCAGAAATAACCCAAAAATCGTTTGATATTAATTTTAAATTATTAATGGGAAAGATATGAATGGCTGTGTCATTAAAAACCTCAAAATATTTAAAAGAATTAATTACAGCTAATTCTAAAGTGTATGGTAAAATCTTACAAATAAACCCTGCTTTATTCTCTAAATCTTTAGCATTATTCCTCTCAATAATACCATTAAAACTATTACTAATTATAATACAAGCGCTTAAATTTAAACCCCAATTGCTCCAAACCAAATTATTACTCAACTCTTTCGGACAATGCGGTAAATAAAATAAACTCAAACCTTCCCCTTTTACTTTAAATTTCCCTTCAGTATTCTCATTTAAAACTTCAAAATCTAATTTAAGTAATAAATCGATTTCATTTTTACTAAAAATCGGGTCATAAACGTAAACTTTACAAGAATACGTTTCTTTGAAACTCAATAACAGTGCTAATTGATATCGGGAAATAACGCACTCGCTAAATCTCCCCAATCCGAAACAAACAATTTCCTCAACCGTTTTATTTCCCAAACAATCTAAACCTTCCCGCATTGACGCCCGAAACGAATCGTACAAATCCGACGAGCACAAATCATCCTTTGCTTCAAAAATGCGTCTGGAACAATTGAGGTTATATTTCCCCCGATAGATTTATTAATTAATCGTGGATGTCTTACCGTTTTATTAAGTCAGGATCGACAGGGGCGAAATCTTTATCAATTTTCGATTTTAATTCCAACGTTTTCTTTTGATTTCGACCTTTATTTTTATACGTAACCAGTTTAAAATCGTCTTTGAGGTTAAGTTCGTTTGACATGATTTTAATTTGACAGTTATTGAGAAAATAAGTGTTCGATTGATTTATTAAATTAATTTAATTAAAATAAATTATTTATATTATTTTAATAACTTAATTTTAAACAAAAATTTTGGTGTAATAAAACTTAATATTATTAAATTTGGAAATTAAAAGTTAAAATTTTTTTAATCGAACTTTGCTTAATAAGCAAATAAAAAGTGAGGTTATAATTCTTTTAAACTTATAAGCATGGTAAGATAAGTAAATAAATAATAAATAATTGTTGATAAAAAAATCGTTTTTAAGGATGTTTTAAACCGACCCGCCGATGAATTCGAAAATGACCAATCTGTTGAAGCTATGTGGGCTATGAAGGCTTTCGAGCATGCCGAAATCTACTTTAACGTAGGTTAATTTTAAGAATAAATTAATTTTAAATAATTTTTTTTCTTTATTTTAGATTCTTTGTTCGGTTGATCCGAAATTATTAAAACTCACCCCGTTAGACGACACCATTTACAAAATATTCAGGGAAGAGTTTCCTAAATTGGATGTAAAAGTAATCGACGAAAACAAATTAAAATGCCCCGCGAGCAAAGCTAAATGGAGACCGTTTTGCGAGCGTTTTAAAAAAGTCGTTGAAGATTACAGTTTGGGGACGTTAATGCGAGCGGATGCCACGAAAGATTATTCTAAAGAAAATTCGATTTTAGTGACTCGTATTCAATTTTTAGCCATTGAGTTAGCTCGAAATAAGGAAGGAATTAATGATGGGTTACGAAAAGCTAATAAACATTCAGTAAAAGAAAAAAGTGATATTAATAAAGAAATGTAATTTTAATAATTTATGATTAAATCATTTAATTTAATTAAAATCGAAGTAGTTTCAATTTCTCACCAATAGATGGGAGTAAATTACAATAAATAGACAGGTAAAGGGTAAAGTGAGGTCATTGCTATTTATTCTCAGGATTAGGTTAATCATTAAATTCCTAAAAATTAACTTATCGCTATAAATAACTTTATTTGTAACAATTTAATCGATTTTTACACTATTTACAACTTTGTAGGTAAGAAATTTCAACGTAACGGATGTTTTTCATTCCTTGACCAAGTATTTCGATTACTCATTGGAGGCGCACTTGGTTGAACAACGTTTAAAGTCCTATGCACCTGCCTTTCAAGCAAAGCTTCCTTGTTTAATTTCCTAATATATAAAAACGACGTTATTCCAATCACTAATAACAAGGCAATGAGAACTATCAAAATTATATTTGCCACCATTCGTTCTACTAAAAACGCCACACATAATCCCGTTATAACTATGATGATTATTAGAACGATTGCAACGATGAAAACAGTCAGGCTTTTCTTACCACCATCTGGAAAATTGGTTTTTTAGTGTTGTTTGATTTTCAAAAATTTGAAAATTACCTGATCCAGCGTAATAATAATACTGTCTCTCCATTTTAAAGATTATATATTTTAAATTATCGATATACTCGTTGAGAACGCGTTGTTTATCAAGTCTACATTATTATCGTTGAGTTCTCGGCGCAAAATAAACATTTTGTAGATAAAAACGGTTGTTGCACAAGCTCACCTCACTATTTAACGAACACTGATAACTAAATCGATCCAAATAATCTCGAAAATTTAATAACTTGGTTTAACTGATGCTGTAGCAACTCCATGGACCACCTTCTACTTACTCATTTGAGAGAGCTTGAGACGCGGAGTTTTTTTTCGTATTTAGAAGGTGAAAGAGAGTGGTGGAAAGGAAAAGGTGATAGTACAAAGGCGTACAAAGATTTTGATGATTTTTGGATCGTTCTTTGATGAAGCATAAAAATAAACTGGCGATTTTGATGAGGAAATGACCTAATAATTTAATAATTAAACCGCGAGGTCATTCAATTCTAGGAATGTTGCAAATGTTTAATGGAAATGCGTTTCGGTTTTAAATGGAAATGTTACTTTACAATTTAAAGTTAAATTTTTATCAGAAACCGCAAAAAAGAAGCAACTATTTATAATTAAGCCATAAATGTGGACTTGTTGAAAAGAAAGTGGAATATAATCAGAAATTTCTACTTGTTAGGAGTTTTCCCCATTATTCTATTAACTATTTAGAACTCGTCCGTTTAAATTGAGTGCATTTGAACTACTTTCACCAGGTTTTTTAATCAAATTAATTGGTTATAAATTGTAAAATTTATCTCTGTAATATGTAACTAAAAAGCTATTAAGAATTAGAACATGCAATAATTAGACTTGTAAATCTAGAACAGAACTTGTTTTGCATAAGCAATAACAAATTAATCAACAAATAACCTTGATTGAGAAAATTAAAAATTTTCCATTTACACCATTTAATAATCTTTGTTATTTACACAAAAAGTCAACGACATGGAATTTATTGTTTATAAAATGATTAAAAAAACTTGTTACTCTTTATCAACAGGTTGATAATTTCATTTAAATTAAAGTTTAAACTTGTATAGTATATGCAACCAATTACGCATCTTTTTTCAAATCACATTATTTTTTGTAACATTTGTACGCTATTACTTTATAGAGATAATACTGAGTAACTAATTTAAAATCGTTTATGAAAAATAACTCATAAAACTTCTTATAATTACGTCTCAACTTTATTGTTAACATAATCTTGATTAATGACTGTTAATGACAGTCATCGTTTTTTTGTCTCCTACTACTAGATGGCGCAACCATATATGATTAAATTGATAATTAAATTGTTATAAAAGCACTTAATTCCAATAAAAAAGTAATTTAATAACATTATTTAATAACTTTGTATATAAATATTATATATAATTTATTTAAAAATAAAAAAAGAAAATTGAAATGTCAAAAAATAATTTAAAATGTAACTATGCTTAATTTTTTTTATTAATATCAATTAAAAACAATTATTTAATTTTTAATTTTAAACTAAACCAATCAATTTAATTAAACCATTTAATTAAAATTTTTTAAATAAATTTTTAAATTATTTAAAAAAAAGTTTACTCCCAAATCAGTTGGTAACACTTTTTACACTAAAAATGGCACTGTGTGTTTATTGTCAAAGTGATTAAAACTCGGTCTTCCTCTCAAAACACCCAAAAAAAAATGTACGAATTTCTAAAAATGTTGAATTAAATTTCGTTAAAATCCCACTGCCTTTAAAACGTTTTCGTTTTGCGGAGTATGACGAAGATCGTCCGATAGAAATAATGCCCTGTACACGACGGGCACAGCTACAAAATGTTTTTACTCAGATTACTGACGATTTTGTGTATCTTAACCGCCTTTTTGCGTGTGATTTTGGGCCACAACGAGTGCCCCGCGAAATGTAGTTGTAAACGCACCAATCAGGCGGATACTGCCGAATGGGTTAAAGTCAGGTGTGGTGACTTTAAAAGGATACAAACCTTGGAGGAACTCGATTTTAACAACATCGCCAGCGAAATCGTTCATTTGAATTTATCAAACAACTCGATGAGCAATTTTCAACCGAAAATCCAATTTGTTGCTTTACAAAAATTGTAGGTTATAAATCTATTTTTAATATGATTTTAATTTAATTCTTTTGCAGGGATATAAGTGGAAATCAATTGGTTGATCTCGTAGATAGACAATTTATTGAAGTTCCTAATTTGAAACGATTAGATATTTCTGGGAATCAAATTAAAAACGTTGGACGATTCACTTTCGAAAATCTTCGATTACTCGAAAGATTAAAATTAAATAATAATTTTATAAATACAATCGAAAAGGGTACTTTTGATTATTTGGAGAATCTTAAACAATTGTGAGTAATTTTATTATTAAAAATTTTGAGGTTAATTTCAAATTTGAGGTTATGTCAAATGTCATTTAATAAAAAATAAATCATCAAGAATCATCATGTTGCTTAAAAATCGACAATATTTTTTTTAATCGACGGGAAATCACTCAAGTTAGCTGTTATAAATAAAAAAACAGTGCAGAAAAGTGTAAAACTTACCAAAAAATCACTTTAAAGTTTCGATGTGACGTCACTTTTCGTGACGTCATCGTATTTTCGCCGCACATTTGGTTAAAACGCATATTTTTGGGTGAAATACGGTTGTTTCTTAGGTTTTTGACGCACAACGACTAAAATGTCGTTATTTACCATCTATAAACTAAAGGTAACCTAAAATCTTTATCTTATTGGTTACTGAATGCTAGATACTGTTGGTAAAAGAGTAAATACTATTTCAAAAACTTACTGCTTCTAAAATGCTAGATACTGTTGGTAAAAGAGTAAATACTATTTCAAAAACTTACTGCTTCTAAAATGCTAGATACTGCAGAAAAAGGCCACAACTTACTAGATACTGTTTTCAAAATAATACCTATTGCTTCTAGAATGCTAAACATTGTTGTTAAAGGTTTTGACCTACTTGGACAGGCGGAATATTACTTTCAAAGACTTCAATAATTGTTTGAAAAAGAGATATGCTTTCCAAAAAGCTACCTACTGCTTTTACAATATTAGATACTGCTGGAAAAGACTAATAACAACTTGGAAAGAAGACACATGCTCTTCAAAAAAGGTACCCACTGCTTCCAAAATGCTAGATACTGGTGGAAAAGATTAATATCTGCTTGGAGAAGACTAGATAGTGCTAACAAACAACTACAAACTGATTGGAAAGACGAGATACTGCTTCCATAGCACTACTTACTGTTTTCAGTGCGCTATATACTACTAGAAAAAGATTACAACCTGCTTGGAGAAGAGTAAATATTGCTGGGAGAAACTATTATCTGCTTGGAAAGGCAAGATACTGTTTTCAAAAGACTTAACTACTTTCAGACTGCTAAATATTGTTGGAAAGATTACTAATTGCTTGAAGAAAGCTAGATATTGTTGGCAAAGACTATTTAATGTTTTCAGAAAACTACATACTACTGCCAAAACACTACTAAGTGCTTAGAAAGAGGAAATACTATTTCAAAAGGTTTACCTACTGCTTCTAAAATGCTAGATACTACAGAAAAAGACCACAACTTATTAGGAAAAGACAAGATACTATTTTCAAAATAATACCTATTGCTTCTAGAGCGCTAAACTGCTTCTAGAATACTGCTTCCAAGACTACTTATTGCTTCCAACGACTTTAATAATTGTTTGACAAAGAGATATGCTTTCAAAAAAGCTACCCACTGCTTCCAGAATGTTAGATACTACTGGAAAAGACTAATAACTGCTTGGAAAGAAGAGATATGCTCTCTAAAAAAGCTGCCTACTGCTTCCAAAATGCAGGTTACTGGTGGAAAAGATTACAATCTGCTTGGAGAAGACTAGATAGTGCTAACAAACAACTACAAACTGATTGGAAAGACGATATACTGCTTCCATAAGACTATTTACTGCTTTCAGAGCCCTATATACTACTAGAAAAAATTACAACCTGCTTGGGGAAGACTAAATACTGCTGGGAGAAACTATTATCTGCTTGGAAAAACAAGATACTGTTTTCAAAAGACTATTAACTACTTTCAGAATGCTAAATATTGTTGAAAAGATTACTAATTGCTTGGAGAAAGCTAGATAGGGTTAGCAAAGACTATTTAATGTTTCCAGAAGATTATGTACTGCTGCAAAAATACTACTAAGTGCTTGGAGATTACAATATTATTGGCTGAAGACTTTTTACTTAAACTATTCTTCTGTGGAGTAATATATTTCTCTGTCGCTTCCATTACAGATTTAAAAATTGTTGCTATAACACTCGATTTTTTGTCACCCAGATACGACATATCTTTTTAGAGAGGAATTTTTTAAACGTTACATTCGGATCCACCTAATTTACTGATTTATTTCGGAATATTGTGTAGAAATTCCACTTTGAGTTATGTTAATTAACATTTAAACCAGTGCGAAATTCTCAAATGTTGGGTTGGGCATGGAGCAGAGGGTGGGTTGTAAATTCCGGATTGGGTTAGCCGTGCGTCTTTAGACAAATATTACATTAAACCCGATATTTTCTAGATCTAGGTCTATTATTCCTAGTTTTACAGTAGCACTATCACTAGAACTAACACAAGATCTGCTTTCCAACTGTTTGGAAAGAAGAGATATCCTTTCCAAAAAGCTACCTAATGCTGCCAGAACACTAAATACTACTGGAAAAGACTAACAACTACTTGGAAAGAAGACATATGCTCTCCAAAAAAGGTACCTACTATAAAGAGTTAAGTATTTTAGAAGTTGAGTATTCAGTATTTGAGTTGTGTTTATAACTCAAAAACCGCGATGACTAGAAAAATTCTACGTGCACCATTGGATTCCACGTGAAAAAATCTATTAGAACCAATTTTTACTTTTTTACTAAGTTTCTGGATAGCCGAGATACAGGAGGTGTCTGAAAATCGTAAATTTCAAACACTCCCTGTATATCAAAAACGAAGAGGGCTATGAAAATTTGGTTTGCGGCATTGTAAGTTTCACAAAAAAGTAGCTCAGGTTCGCGAAAGCTGTAACTTTCTATCTGTCATAATAACTGAGATACCCTGCAAACCCATCCCCTGTATACTACTAGAAAAGATTACAACCTGCTTGGAGAAGACTAAATACTGCTGGGAGAATTATTATCTGCTTGGAAAGACAAGATACTGTTTTCAAAAAACAAATAACTACTTCCAGAATGCTAAATATTGTTGGAAAGAATTTGTACTAATTGCTTGGAGAAAGCTAGATATTGTTGGCATGCTCTTTAATGTATCCAGAAGACTATATACTGCTGCTAAAACGTTACTAAGTGCTTGGAGATTACAATACTACTATAGATGTGAATTTTTCCAAAAAAACCACTGTTTAAAAACGATGAAAGATATTTTATTCAATTATTAAATCGGTGCTACGTTACGTTTCAACCAATAAGTTGGTCTTCTTCAGGCACGTCGTCTTAGGATGTAGAAAATGGAGGATATCATCTATATAAACTTAACATCGTAAAAGCAATGAAGACAATTCGTTATTTTTATTGCACTAACACTAGACCTAGAACTAGAATCATTCGGGTTTAGCCGCCTTGAAAGACGTGGGGCTAAATCCGAATGTTTCCAGTTTTCGGTCTAGTGTTAGTTCTAGTATTAACGCAGAGTCTATTGACACCTTTGATTATATATAATATGGATTGAGCCAACGAGAGAGATAGCTTGCGCAGGGTGATCGAACCGAGATAGACATAGAAGCGTACTGACATATAATGGGCCTGCGTTAATTTATAAGATAAAAAACTATCAATTAGAAGTAACATTTATAATACTTACAGGTGATGTGAAACTGTATTATCGCGAACTTTGCACACGAAACAATACATTTTTAAACATAACGGTGTGACTGGCTGTGACACAACAAAACGATAAACGTCAGGTTTGACACTTTTGTGCGCATGCGCCCGTCTGTTTAGTACCGTTTTATGTCTATCTTTGTTACACTTTCACATTATCGCTTTCCATCTGCGTCTATTCACCTTGAGCCACATTTTTGTTAGTAGATATATTCAGTTAGCTCAATCCATATTATATATAATCAAAGATTGACACACAGTCTATCTAACAAAACGTGATGTCACACCAACACTTTAATGTGATTTTTCAATTTCTTTTTTTTTTAATTTGTTTTTTGGGTCATTTCACATTCATTAAAGAAAAATTGTCGATTTTTAAGCCACATGATTATCCTTGAATTTTTCCAAAATAAAAATTAATTAATAAAAAAATTAGGTTATGTTATGATTTCGCTGTCATTTCAAAAGATGGCGTTGTTACAAAAATAAAACTAAAGTCCCTAGATTATTAAAGTACTGCGGTTTGCCGCCATTTTGGCTCAAAAATCAAGCGGAAAATTTAAAACCATATCGTTCTATTGATAATATTACGCTAAATTTCCTTTCTTTTTGTCTCGTGGTACTCTGAAGAGTTGGCTTTCAACTCTTACTACTATTTTTGCATAAAGACGGCATTATTACACGTGCACTTTTTGTAAATAAGTTGTGACAAGCACTGACAAGCTGTCAAACCGCCATTTTGGCGCGAATACATTCATGAACCGCGGTACTTCGATAATGTAGGGACTTTAAATAAAACAATCTACATATTATGATGATTTTTGAATTCTTTAAATTCTTATTTTGTAGAGATATCTCAAATAATCCGTTAACATGCGATTGTAAATTACTTTGGTTATTAAAGTGGGCTGAAAATACATCGGTAAAATTAATGTCGAACCCAAAATGCGCATCACCTGCAGCGAATAAAGGAATATCTATAAAAAAATTAAAAATTGGCGAACACATTCATTGTAAATCCCCGGCACAAGGAAATCGTGAAATCCCCATCGTTGAAATAACCCCCAATTATAGCCAAATCGTTTTTGAGGGAGATTCATTACGATTAAATTGTAAAGCTCCGAGTAGTTTAGAAAGTTACGATATACATTTATCGAATTTAAAAGATAATATTGAATGGTTGTGGCTCGATTTGAATCCTCGAACGATTTTCGATGATGTTTTAATAGAAAATAAATATTTAGAAGATGTTGGATTGATTGATAGCTCATTGATTATAACGAAATTGAATCGAAATCATAGCGGAATGTGGAATTGCGAGTTAATCTCGAATAAGCATCGATCAAAAAGTGTTAAAATTATTGTTATATCAAATGAAACAAAGTTTTGCTCAAGTATTTTAACAAGCGACAACAAAGGAAGTTATATTTGGCCTAAAACTATCGTAAATAACACGGTTTTTTTACCGTGCAAACAAACCCATTTATCACTGGATATTAATTTACAAAAAGTGACTTATTTTTGTGGGGAAAATGGGAAATGGAGTGATTTAAACACAACGATGTGTAGTTATATCTCGGATACAACACGAATTTTAGAACAATTTTCTAAGTTTAGTTTAGCAATGGGTAAAGGGGGGATCATCGAGAGTGCTAAACATTTTAAAAATTATATTTCTGACTTAAATCAGTTAAAAGATGTTGAAGATTTGATATTTATAATCAGAACGATTGAAAGTTATGCTCAATTTGTGCCGGAAGAGAACGAATTGGGGCAAATTTTAGTGGAAATTGCAAGCATGGTGATGTTTTTGAACGAAACTTTTATTTCGGAAACTTGTTCTCGAGATAATTCTTGTAATAAGCTTATTAAATCAATTGAAAATATCGCTCAATTTACAACGACATCGTCTCTTCATAAATCGAATATAGCTTTAGAGATATTTCCCGTTAAACAAACAACCTTCTCAGGAATGACGTGCACTTGGTATATTACCCATAATAATTTAAGGGAAAGATTATTTTATTGCGCAACTACGAATCAAATCACTAAAAGTGTTACCCATGAGAAAATTGTTGAAGCCTCAATTCAAGTACCAATATTATTCTTTCATCAATTACGTAATCGAGAGATTTTACAAGAAACTTTATCGCATAAAATTTTAATTTCGATGTTTGGGGACGCTAAATTCTTTCCCATTAAGAATCAAAATGAAATTATTGTTTCTGCTGTTGTTGGAATTAAATTAGGTGAGTTAAATTAATTAATTAATATAACAACTATATTAACGTTTTTTATTTTTTTTTTTATTATTCACTAACGTTAGTTATGTCACGAGCGTAGCGAGTGATATAATTAACCTGACTGATTATATGTGAGTAGAATACTATGCTTTGTCCACGACTACTGTTGAAATTGATTTCATAAATTTATTTTTTTAAATAAATTTTTAATAATGTTTAAACGTCAATGTGACAGCAATTCAATGTTACCAACTCCACAACAATTTGTCAAAATTAAATGTCAATTTTATGAAACGTCATGTTTTTTTGACGAAAATTAATTAATTTATGCTTAAATCATAGGAAAAAAGGAATTTCTTAACGATTTTTTAATGTCAAACCTTTAGGAAGTCCTTAAAAATTAAATTAAATTGACGTTTTTTGAAATTTTGACGTTTTAAATAATTATTATTAATCTGTCAAGTTGATTACCCGTGAATAATGATTATTCACCGCTATTATTTACTCTGTGGAAAATGACTACCCTTTAAAACTTATTTTTTAAATAAATTTTTGAATAAAGTTTAAACGTCAATGTGACACAAATTGAATGTCGCCAACTTCACAAAAATTTGTCAAAATTAAATGTCAATTTTATGAAACGTCGTTTTATTTTTACGAAAATTAATTAATTTGTGCTTAAATCATACGAAAAAGGGAATTAGTTTATTTTTTTTTTAATGTCAAACCTTTAGCCGTCTTGAGAGACGTGGGTCTAGCGTTAGTTCTATACCATTTCAAGTTCAAATTGGCACTAATCAAACTAAAAATGGCATTAAACAAAACCAATTTGGCGACTGTCATAATCAAATTACATATTCAAATTACACATTTATCAAAATCAAAATGACATTAATCAATTACAAAATGTCACTGTTAAGAAACTATCACAAAATGCCAAATATTAAGAAAAAGGAAGCAGCAAACGAATGCTGAAAAGGAATGAAATTCTTGGTGTTGCAAAAAGAACAGTTGATTTGTTTTTCATGAATTAAGAAGGGGGTCATTTAAAAGAGAAAAGGCTAATGAGTTTGTTAGGCAATGCTTAAGGAGAGCTCAAGATAGCTAATGTTCAGTGGCTTTAGTCATTGATAATACTCCATGCTTGTCATTGTGGTGTTGAAGAACAATTTCGTCATCATAAACTTGTAAGTCCTTATAGTCCAATGCTAAACCGAAGTGAACACGCATGGTCAATTTTGAATGCAGGTATAAAGGCGGACTTCACAAATGCAATTACAAATATTTCTGAGGGAAATGACCGAGAAAATTTGTCTCAAACAGAGTACAGAATTCGAAAATTAGAAAATATAATTAGGAACAATATTCCAAAAATTAATGTAACAGGTTTATAGCCGGAATTCAAAAATACCTCTATTTTAAACATGGAGGATGTCACCTTTTGAGTTAACAATATTGTTTATTACCAAGTATAAAATTATGCGTTTAAAACGTTAATCACGAAACAAAGATTGTTTTGTTAAATAATTGATAATTGATTAATGTCATTTTGATTTTGATTAATGCCAATTTGATTATGTTATGACAGTTGCCAAATCGGTTTTGTTTAATGCCATTTTGGATTTGATTAATGCCAATTTGAACTTGAAATTGTATAGAACTAACACAAGACCTAGAATCATTCGGATTTAGCCGTCTGGAGAGACGTGCGGCTAAACCCGAGTGTTTCTAGTTCTAATGTTAATTCTAGTTTTGCACTATTACTAGAACTAATGTTTAAGCGTGACACAAATTCAATGTTACCAACTGTAACCAACTTCACAACAATTGTCAAAATTAAATGTCTATGAAACGTCATGTTTTTTTTACGAAAATTAATTAATTTATGCTTAAATCTTAGGAAACAAGGAATTCGTTTACGTTTTTTTAATGTCAAACCTTTAGAAAGTCCTAAAAAATTAAATGAAATTGACGTTTTTTTGAAATTTTGACGTTCAAATAATTATTAGCAGTCTGTCAAGTTGATTACCCGTGAATAATAATTATTCAGCGCTATTATTCACTCCGTGAAAAATGACTACTACTAATGTTTGAGAAAACTAGGTAGTCGTGGACAAATAAATTTTGTTTGATTAAAATAGACGCGCGGATTTCTTGATTCTCGGTGTCTACCTGTAATTTTCATTTTGCTACCGTGTGGAATTAATAGATGGACCCCCCTCTGTAAAGTCCCTAGATTATCAAAGTACCGCGGTTCATGAAGCTTGTGCATTCGAAATATTCGAGCCAAAATGGCGGTTTGACAGCTTGTCACCACTTATTTACAAAAATAATGCCGTCTTGTTGCCTTTGGAGTTGCAAAGATAGCAGTAAGAAGAAGGGCTTTCGACTCTTCAGAGTACCAAGAGAAAAAAAAAAGAAAAGAAATTTGGAGTAATTTTATCAACAGAACGACATAGTTTTAAATTTCCCGCTTGACTTTCGAGCCAAAATGACGGCAAATCACGATACTTTGATAATCTAGGGACTTTACCCCTCTGGCTCTAACGGCGTCCCAACGACGATCCAGCAGTATTTTTCTTAGATCTTCCTCTTGTACGCAACGGGACGTGAGGTTGTGTTGGTTTACTATCTTGGCAAGGTTTCAAGGCTGATAAATGGTATTTGCTTAAAGGAATCTCAGGCTGTTATGAATGTGAAACCTGACAACTAGTCAGGTTATCGTCAGGTTTTGGAACAAACTTTCTTGTCAGTACTATTAAGTACAAGCGTGTCAACCAAAACTCTGTCTCCAACCATGAATCCTTGTCACTACATACACCTTTTGTCAACCTTGCTGCTTCTCATTGTTGCTTCGGACATCTTGTGGAATTTTGAGTAATCGTTGTAGATACGGTAGTATCTCTGGGATCAAATTTTCTGAATTTGTTATAGTACATACATAGATTGCGTTGAACATCCTCAGGACTTCGTAGTTCCCGACCAAAGGTAAGGAAATCTGGAATGTATCCTGTAGTTTCACCTTTGGCAGTATTCATGGCGAATCGAATCATAAATAAAGATGTGTCGCGTTTTTTCATTCACCAATATGGCCAGCCGTGGTTTTAAAACTGTTTTTTCTTCCCACCATGTTGGCTTGAGGGTGGTATTTACAAATTGGACTCCATTGTCAGATATCATCCGTCGTAATATATCTAAGGAATATTTCGGCAATTAGGTTCCTGGCGCATTCCAGCCATTTAAATAACACATCATTAACTATAAAAATAATTTAAATCTTTGTCTGCACCAATCCAGTAAGTTTCTGATTGATCGCTTTATATCTTTGACATTCGATACATTTACTTATATAATTCGTCACATAACGCCGCATGCCGGTCCAGTAATATCTATGTAGAGGCTATTCTGCTTAATATTCTTTCAACATCATAATGAGCAGCAATAAGAGCATCATGGTATTCATAAATCACTTTCTCTTTGTCATGAGTAGGCATAATTAGTACTGCGTGTTCATTTTCATCTTCTGGGTTATAACGATACAATACACCTGCGGTCATCAGATAATCACGATTGGGAGAATTTGTCACTTTTATTAAGATCTTCAAAACTATCTATTATCTTCTTTAAGTCTGGATCCGATCCTTTCTTTGTCCGTTACGAATACTTTAAGATGTTCGTGTCGGCAAGTTAAAGGAAATCATGCATGTCGAAAGTTGAATAAATTCTTTCAACTCACCTTAATCTAATTGTGGCTACAAAGCTCACGCTCAAAAAATCGTTATTGTAACGAGTGCTTCGTAGTCAAAAAATCACACCAAAGTCTCTTGAAATCCAAACGTGATATCCTTATAACAATATTTTTTTTAATAAATATCTATTTCATTTTGCTACCGTGTTGAATTAATATATGGCGTTACATAAATAATTAAAATAAATTCTTTTTAGATGATGAAAATCAAATAGAAAATTTAACAGATCCGATTAGCATAATGTTACGAACCCCAAAATCATCACACACATCATCGGAATTAATCCCGGTATGGTGGAATAAAAATTTAAACAACGGAACCGGATCTTGGACGTCAAACGGGTGTTATTTCATCGAAGAAATTTTAGATTGCACCGTTTTTAAATGTTACAACCTCGGATATTACGCTTTAAAACAAAACTCGACCCAAACCTCAATCAAGTATTACGCAAAATTCAAATTTTCCCATTCCGCGATTTACATCGGAAGTTTCATTTTGTTTATGTGCTTATTAACGTCGATATTAACGTATTTATTTTTTTACGCCGCCATTCAAATGCCGCGAAAGGCCAAACATAGCTTATTAAACATTTGGATTTCGATTGCGTTTTTGTGTTTTATTTATGTCTTTGGGATTTATCAAACTGAGGATTTAAAGTTGTGCCAAATAATCGGATTAATTTTGCATTATTTAACGTTATCGTCGTTGTTGTGGATGTGCGTTGGAGTTAACGGGATGTATAAGAGGTTACGGAAGAACGATAATCGCGTTTTGGAGTTGCAGGATGATGAAATTGGGGAGGAACATATTAAGAAGCCGATTATTGGGTTGTATTTTGTTGGGTGGGGGATTGCTTTGATTGTTTGTGGGATATCGTCGGCTGTTAATATGAAGGAGTATTCGTCGGTTAATTATTGCTTTTTGAGCTCGGAGCCTGCGTTAAGCGCACTTTATGTACCTTTTACGATTTTAATTATAACGCTTTGTATTTACTTTTCGTTGATAAGGTGCGCTATGTATAGCATTGTTGATACGGGGGGGCATTTGAGCGAAGGTACGCAAGCGACGGAGAACGTTGATTTGGATCTGTTGGAGCCGAATTTTCCTAATAACTCGATTCCGAGTATTTCGACGAAAAGTTCTTCGGAAACCGAAGACCCCGAGCATGCCCCAATCGTTCAATTAAAAGCATACATCATTTTTTTGTTTATTTATGTGTTAACTTGGATTTTGTGTGCTTTCTCGACGATCCAACCGATTAAATTAAAACGATTTGAGGAGGTTTTTTGCGTAGCCTACGCAATTTTAGCGATCGTTTTAGGCTCTTTCACAGTTTTCTTTTATTGCATCGCGCGAAATGATGTGAGGACTCGCTACGTTTTGTTCACAAAAGATTTAAAAAAGAAACGATTATTTTGCTTCTTTATTCGCTCAAGAAACATCAGCGACACCACAACAACAACGACGCGAAACGTTTCGCAAATTCAAATTCAACCTCTCCCCCCGATTCCGATCATTGAAGAAGGTGGAAACTCGAATCAAACGCGTTCAAGCAGCCGCTCATCCTCAAACAACACAAAATCAAACAACAGCCATCAAATTCTAAAAGGAGCCGACTTAAACGCGTACTCAGACTCGCAAGGAATTAAAATAAACAACGTTAATTTGGTTGTTTTGCACCGGAAGCAGTATCGCGGGAACTCGGTTGTTCCAAATTTAATCGAAAACCCCACTAATTCCGAAATGTTTTATAACCCCCACCAAATAACGGTGGCAAGGAAGTTTTTTCGTAAGCAAAAACGCAACATGATGAAACACACGAATTTAGTTACGAAAAGAAACGAATTTCACGATAACAGCTCGATTGCGTCGTTCCCAAAAACGAATAACGACAATCAAAGCGTTGACCATCAAAGCATCTTCTCAACAAACTCGAAAGTTAACAACACCAACATTCACATCGAAAAAATAAGGAAACAACGTAACACGAATAACCCCAATATTCTCTTAATCGATAGTTACGATGAAGAAGCAACGAAACCCACAGATTTCAAAGACAAAAAGAGGAAACATAAAAAGAAACAAATCAATAATTACAAACCCACCCATGATAATATGAGATCGGTTTCGCAACAATGCACCTTGGAGTATAGCTCAGAAGCCATATCGGATTCAATTTTAGATCAGCGGAGTCCCGAAAAGATCCAAAACAATTTTAACCCCGAAATAGCAACCACAACAACAGAAAAAACTATAAAAATATCAGAAAATGTCGATAAATTAAACACGGTTTATGAACCATCGTTAGAAGAAAACTCTTTCCTTCCGGGTCGAATTTATGTGAACCCATCTCACGAACCTTTATTCCCAATAAATAAACGCGTGCAAAGTCGAGCGAGTAGCGTCTCAGCCAGCGAAATCGACGAGTTATACCAAGAAATACGAGGACCGAGGCACAACAAATACGACAGAATGCGACAACCGAGTCCTTGTTATTCCGACTCAGAAGTCACTTCCGGTGTGAGCGAGGTTCGATTTAGAAGTAGGAGAGGGTTTTTTGGCGAAAAATTTTCAACATCAAACGTTTAATTTTAATTTTAAATTAATTTTTAATGTCAAATTTGACATTAACTTTGACGTTTCATAATTCAGATCTGATTAAATTTATTTTTATTAATCTCCAAAAGTGTGATATTTTAAATATGACAGTGCAATTTTTATTTTATAATTGCTTAATTTTCGTTCAAATAGATGATAATGATTAGAATTTGTGCCAAAAACTAATGAATTGAAGAACTTGACGTTTAAACTGTCAAAATTTTTTGAAATTAAACGTAAATTAAGTGCTTTTAGGTTAATTTTAAATGAAATTAACGGTAAATAATGTGGCTTAAACGAAGAGTCATACAAACATAATGACTCTATCAATGTTGTAATTTAGGTAAAAAAAATGATATTAATTTTAATTTTAAGAGTGTGATTTCCTTTATTCTTAAAACTTTTGCTGTGTACTTACCGAATAATTTTAAGAATCTAGAATTTATACCTTGTATTGATAGATAGATAGATACATCGAATTTTTTTTTTTTTGTTGTAAATAAAAAATGTGATTTCTAAAAGGAAGTTGAAACAAAACTAGAATTTATTTTGAATTGTAAGAAAATGTTTCTTAATTAAAATATTGAACTATTTGTTGCTTTAAATGTAACGTATTTATGAAAAATGAGGATTGAACTAAAAAAAAACGCTTAGCTACGGTTAGCTTAAGTTAGTAATTAATGGACTTAATGTAAATGAAACGAAAACACGTATATACGTACCTACGAAACACTTAAAAATCGTAATTATAAAGACTGTTGATACGAAAAAATAATAAGTATTACGAAAACTATTATTTATAAATTATAGAATATTATATAAAATTTATAAGATATTTGTGAAGAGGAAAACTAACATTTTGTTAGAAAAAAACGTTTATAAGATGTGTATAAGGAATATTCAATAAAAATAATATAAATAATTTTTTTTTTTAATTAAATAATGTCAAACGAAACGTCATACATAAACCCAATTTTTTTTTCTATTATGTGCTTTAACTACACTCAGCGGCATAAAAACCGCATCACCTAAAATCATGATCGGTTTCAAACTAATAATAACTTTTGAACGTATTCCTCGATTTAAATAGGTTTTTTTTATTTGGAAGGTTTACCCTTTGTCAATATTTCTGTATACGCCTTCCCCATTTTGCCGCTTTTTAATTTCAGTAATAATTTTAATTCTTTTACTCATCGGGACATGGCCCCACGCAAGTATACCGTAGCTAATATGACTTTGGAAAAGCGCAAAATAAGCTGTATGCAATACTTCAGTAGAAGAAAACTCCGAGAAGCCAAAACTTCCCCATGGGAGTTCCATGTAAGTCCAGGGTCCACATGGACACTAAGAAATCTGATTCTTAATTGATTTTTCAGTAATGTTTCAATAACTTTTGATAATACGGGTAGTATTATTAGTACTAATTGGCCTATAGTTGGAAGCATCATTAATATCGCCCTTTTTGAACAGCGGCAAAACATATTCTACCTTAAAGTCATCTGGAAAACAGCCAGTAGTTAAATATTGGTTAAACAGAGTAGTAAGTACAGTAACTGTACAAGTAATCAAAAGGTTTTTAATTTTTTTAATCATGATCGCATTAAGTCCAAATATGTCAGCATACTTGCTTGGTTTGAGGAATATAATCCCGCACCTCAACTTGTGAGAAAGGATGAAATGCGAAATATTCGCATTTAGAGTAATCCACATGTTCGATTAACAATGATAAAGGATTCTCGATTAACAATGAATGGAATGGCCTGCACGTAACCCTGATTTAAACCCCATAGAACACATGTGGGATATGCTAGGGAAACGACTAGAGGAGGAAATACCCGTTATTAACATTTTAACTTGTGAAATTGAAGCGCCAAAAGAAGAAGAGTTGCTATTGGTCAGTTTTAGGGCAATGTCAACCTCAATTTTGACATATTTGTAATCTTCATCAAAAATCCTTTAAAATGAGTACAAACACGACATATTTATCTCCAATATTAATGAAGCTATCGCCAACTTCCGGTTAAGAATGTCAACGTCAATTTTGACATATTTGTAATCGTCGTGAAAAACCCTTTAAAATGAGCCCAAACATGATACGTTTAATTCCCATATTACTCGAGATATAAGCAACTTCCGGTTTGAAATGTCAATGTCAATTTGACATTCTTAATTTTTATAAAAGTCTTAATATTTGTTACAAAAACAAAAGTATAATAAAAATAAAAAATTAAGGTTGGTATTAATATTTAAAAATTAAATTGCTATCTTCATTGTTGCTAACTTAGGATTTAATGTTTTTTTATTCTAACTTTTTTGGTTTTTTGAGATAATTGCGTCTTGCTTGGACTCATTTTAAAGGATTTTTTTTAATAAAGAATCATCATGAAAGAACACCATGAAATTGTCAATTTGTCTATTATATGATAACTAACTTCAGGTTTAAAATGTCAACCTCAATTTTGACATATTTGTACTCTTCATTAAAAATCCTTTAAAATGAGTACAAACACGACATATTTATCTCCAATATTAATGAAGTTATCGTCAACTTCCGGTTAAGAATGTCAACGTCAATTTTGACATATTTGTAATCGTCGTGAAAAATCCTTTAAAATGAGCCCAAACATGATACGTTTAATTCCAATATTACTCGAAATATAAGCAACTTCCGGTTTGAAATGTCAATGTCATTTTGACATATTCTTAAGTTTTATAACATGTCTTAATATTTGTCACAAAAACTAAAATATAATTAAAAAAAAAAATTAAGGTTGGTATTAGTATTTAAAAATTAAATTGCTATCTTCATTGTTGCTAACTTCGGGTTTAATGTTTTTTATTCAAACTTTATTGTTTTTTGAGATAAGTGCGTCATGTTTGGACTCATTTTAAAGGTTTTTTAATGAAGATGACAAATATGCCAAAATTGACGTTGACATTTCAAACCGGAAGTGATTGTATTTCCATTAATATTAAAGTTAAATATGTCGAGTTTGGACTCATTTTAAAGGATTTTTTATGAAGTTGACAAATATGTCAAAATTAAAAGTTGAAAGTNATTACGAAAACTATTATTTATAAATTATAGAATATTATATGAAATTTATAAGATATTTGTGAAGAGGAAAACTAACATTTTGTTAGAAAAAAAAACGTTTATAAGATGTGTATAATGAATATTCAATAAAAATAATATAAATAATGACATAAATCGTTTTAAAATTTGAAATGTCAAACGAAACGTCATACATAACCCTAGTTTTTACCAACTTAATTTTGCAAAAAAAATACGTTTTGATAGTACATTGAAGTTATAAGTGAGGTTACCGATAAACTAACGATACATCAATTTGATTGAGTGAAATCGAAAATAATATAACAAATATTTGAGTTTTATCAAAAAACGATTAAATGAAATGAGCAAAAGACGAGTTGAGGTTATGTCAAATGTCAATTAGACCGCGTTATGCATCACTTGACTAAGCGACAAATGATTAATGAGGATGAAGTGCTACAAGTTTACAGGTTAAAATTTAAGCACTCTTTTTTAATAAGAGAAATATTAGGAAACTTGGGAAAAATTCAAGAATCATTATGTGGCTTAAAAATCAACGATTTTTTTTAAATCAATGTGGAATGACCCAAAAAGTGCGGAAAAGTGACTAACATTAGATTAACTTCGGTTATAAAACTTCAATTATATGATAACTAACTTCAAGTTTAAAATGTCAACCTCAATTTTGACTTATTTATAATCTTCATTAAAAATCGTTTAAAATGAGTACAAACACGACATATTTATCTTTAATATTAATGAAGTTATGGTCAACTTCCAGTTAAGAATGTCAGCATCAATTTTGACATATTTGTAATCGTCGTGAAAAATCCTTTAAAATGAGTCCAAACATGATACGTTTCATTCCAATATTACTCGAGATATAAGCAACTTCCGGTTTGAAATGTCAATGTCATTTTGACATATTCTTAATTTTTATAAAATGTCTTAATATTTGTTACAAAAACAAAAATATAATAATAAAAATAAAAAAAATAAGGTTGGTATTAATATTTAAAAATTAAATTGCTATCTTCATTGTTGCTAACTTCGGGTTCAATGATTTTTATTCTAACTTTTTTGTTTTTTGAGATAAGTGTGTCATCTTTGAACTCATTTTAAAGGTTTTTTTAAATAAAGAATACATCATGAAAGAATACCATGAAGTTGTCGGTTTGTCTATTATATAATAACTAACTTCAGGTTTAAAATGTCAACCTCAATTTTGACATTTTTGTAATCTTTATTAAAAATCCTTTAAAATAAGTACAAACATGACACATTTATCTCCAATATTAATGAAGTTATGGTCAACTTCCGGTTAAGAATGTCAACGTTAATTTTGACATTTGTAATCGTCATGAAAAATCCTTTAAAATGAGTCCAAACATGATACGTTTAATTCCAATATTACTCGAGATATAAACAACTTCCGGTTTGAAATGTCAACGTCATTTTGACATATTCTTCATTTTTATAAAACATCTTAATATTTGTCACAAAAATATAATAAAAAATTGAGGTTGGTATTAATAGTTAAAAATTAAATTGCTATCTTCATTGTTGCCAACTTAGGGTTTAATGTTTTTTTATTCTAACTTATTTGTTTTTTGAGATAAGTGCGTCATGCTTGGACTCATTTTAAAGGTTTTTTAATGAAGATGACAAATATGTCAAAATTGACGTTGACGTTTCAAACCGGAAGTGATTGTATTTCCATTAATATTAAAGTTAAATGTGTTGAGTTTGGACTCATTTTAAAGGATTTTTTATGAAGTTGACAAATATGTCAAAATTAAAAGTTGAAAGTTCGACCTTTTTGGTTTTTTGAGATAAATGCGTCAAATTTGGGCTCACTTTATAGGTTATTTTATGAAGAATACGAATATAATAATAAAATTAAAGTTAACATTGACAACTAAAAGTTTTTTTCACGACTAAACCCGAATGTTTCTAGTTTTAGTTCAATAAAAATATACAACATAGTAATATCTTATGCTAGAACTACCTGCCCCTAGAACTAACACTAGACCGAGAACTAGAAACATTCGAATTCACGAAATGAAACTTTTTGAGGTTATAAAGGAAGGTTTAAGGTTGGATCACACCAAATTACAAGTTTCCAGGTTAATTACTTTAGTCAATATAACATTTTAAAAATTTCCTATTTCATTTGACGTTTGTTGAAAGTGAGGTTAAAGAAAAAAATTGTTTTCTCCAAACGGTTAAGATTCAAGAAATGACACATTTTGAGGTTATAAAGGAAGGTTTGAGGTTAGATCACACCAAATTATAAGGTTCCAGGGTGTTTACTTTACTTAATATAACATTTTAAAAATTTCCTATTTAATTTGACGTTTCTTGAAAGTGAGGTTAAAGTAAAAAATCACTCTGACCTCATTTTTGGGAGTTAAGTGAAGATTTATATGTCAAATTGAAGCTCGAAGACTCTATTTTATAATTACTTATAAAAATTAAATGGTTTGATAATGAGATTTAGCAGAAAAAGTCATAAACGCAAAATTGTTTTTTGAGGTTATTTTTGGATTTGTCAAAATAAATTGAAAATTAAAAAAATCATTCCAACGGTATTTTGAAGCGCATAGCAAAGATTTATGTATTAAATTAAAGCTAAAAGATTCTATTTTACGATGAAATTAAAAAAATATATGGTTCGATAAGGAAAATTTTTCAAAAAAATATCTTGAAGACAAAGTTGCAAATCTAGGTTATGTTGAATACGTCATTAAAAGGATAAAATGCAAAAAATCACCCTGACTTTATTTATGGGAGTTAAGCGATGGTTTATATCTTAAATTGAAGCTTAAAGTAACCTCAACGTTTATTATTATTTTATTTTAAACATTTTTAATCTTATTTTACTGAAGGTAGGTTATGAAAATCTTTATGCATGTAATATTTCATCAATAATAATTAAAATTTGGTTAAAAAATTGATGTTTCATAAAAATGTCAAATCTGACGTATATAACTTAACCTTAATTGGTTTAAACTTGATAATTTTAGATTAAAAGAATTAAAAAAATAAATAAATATAAAAAGAGTTGATTGTACGAACGAAGATAATGACTCCACGTTTTATTTACTTGGAAATTTCCACTGTAAATCTTTACAAAAATATCTTGTTGTGTTTACTTGGAAATTTCCTACTGGAATCAAACCTTTTTTATCATCGCAAAACGAGGATAACCAAGGATAACAATCACGTGTTGATTTATTTCTCATTATTTTAAGAAAGAAGGTCTCGTTAATTTCTGAATGGGAGCACAACGTTATCTAATACAAAAATAACACGAGTTGCTTAACATGATTTACTTCTTTACGCACTTAATCTAATCTTTCCGTTTTAAAATAGCTTTGTTAAATTTAAACACAAAAGAAATACCGATTACCGAAAAAGAAGTTATTAATTAAAATTAAAAGAACTTATTTATTAATTAAATTGAGTGAAAATATGTTAATAATATTTATGATGCTAATTGTAATTAATAAAATTAACCCCGACCTAAATTCTTATTGTTTAAAACACTTTCAACGGAAAATAACCAAAGGAAGTTTGTTAAAACAAAGAAAATAATTGCAACCTATGACCTGGATTAAAAGATAATAAAGGATTCAATACGGATTAACCTAGGGTATAAAATACCGAGTGTACTCTCAATTCAATCATCAATATTGCACTAAGTCAAAAAGGAAGAGATTAAACTGAAGATGTCTCAATGCATAATTAACAAAAACTTCCTTCAAAACGGTATCCAGAAATTAGAGAAAATCAATTCTAATCAAACTAAAGATGTTATTGAGAGAGAAAAAAAATTTGGTGCTCACAATTATGATCCAATTCCAGTTGCTTTAACAAAAGGAAAAGGTAAATTAAGTTGGTAACATAATTAATTTATTAAACGTCACTTTGACGTTTCTGAAACTTCAAATTTGACGTTTGTTTATATATAGGTGTTTTTGTATGGGATGTCGAAGGAAAAAAATATTACGATTTTTTGAGTGCTTATTCAGCGGTAAATCAAGGACATTGTCACCCGAAAATAACGGAAGCTGTTAAAAAACAAGTTGATACATTAACATTAACTTCGAGGGCTTTTTTTACCGACGCTTTGGGTGAATACGCCGAGTTTATAACAAAACTTTTTGGATATGACAAAATTCTCCCGATAAATAGTGGGGTTGAAGCCGGCGAAACCGCTTGTAAAATAGCGAGGAAATGGGGTTACTTAAAGAAGAAGATTCCAAACGATCAAGCAAAAATTGTTTTTGTCGAAGGAAATTATTGGGGAAGAACAATGTCAGCGATTTCATCATCAACCGATCCAACTTGTCGGGATTGTTATGGTCCTTTCATGCCTGGATTTATTGTTATTCCATACGATGATGAAGAAGTTTTAGAAGAAACTTTAAAAAATGATCCGAATATTTGTGCTTTTATGGTTGAGCCGATTCAAGGTGAAGCTGGAATCGTCGTCCCTAAACCGGGTTATTTAAAAAAAGTTAGAGAAATTTGTACGAAATACAACGTTTTATGGATTGATGATGAAGTCCAAACTGGTTTGGGGAGAACTGGAAAATTATTGGCGGTTTACCACGAAAATGTTCGCCCGGATATAGTTTGTTTAGGAAAAGCTTTATCAGGAGGAATGATGGCCGTAAAAATTCTAATATTTAATAAAACATTTTTATTAATTTATTTATTTTTAGATTTCTGCGGTTCTCGCAGACGATGAAACCATGCTTTGTATAAAACCAGGTGAGCATGGCTCAACTTACGGCGGGAATCCCTTGGCTTGTAAAGTTGCAACGGCTGCTTTAAAAGTTATTTTAGAAGAAAATTTATGCGAGAATGCCAAAAAATTAGGCAACATTTTAATGGAGGATTTAAAAAAATTACCAAAAGAACTTGTTTGCGAAGTTAGAGGGAAAGGATTGATGTGTGCTATCGTTATTAACGAAAGTAAAACGTTAAAAGAAATTTTAAAAAGTAATTAATTAATTCTATTTTTAGAACTTGGATTTACAGCCACCGATGTTTGTATTAAACTAAGAGATAACGGCCTTTTAGCTAAACCAACTCACGGAGATATCATCCGATTAGCACCGCCTTTAGTGATGACGGAAGCTCAATTAAAAATTTGCACCAATATTCTATTAAAAACTATAAATTCATTTAGAATTTAAAAACCAAGTTTTAGTACCAAGAAAATAAAGTATATATATAATAGATCTTATTTACCAAGTAAACTTTCCTAAGTAATTCACACCTTTATTGCAAAATACGTATTGCATTTCGCAGTGTTGACCTATTTGAATCGAAACACTTTAAAAGTATTTCATCCTCATTCAACGCCTCATGTTAAATTAAAAAAAAAATGTTCTTAAGAAATCCCAAATTAATAAGAAATATTTATAGAAATGGATTGAGATGTTTAACGACAAAAGAAATTATTGCGAGAGAAGATCAATTTGCCGCAGATAATTATGAACCATTACCGGTTGCTTTAACAAAAGGAAAAGGTAATAAAAAATTTAATAATAATTAAATTTAAATTTGTGTGTAAAAATGAAGTAGGCAACCAGATTTTCACGATTTTTTTTTTTTATAAATTTATTTTAACTATTTTTATTTATAGGAATTTTATTAATTAATGATTAATAAATATTAAAAATTAAACCAAAATCCCCAATAATAATATAAAAATAAATTATTGCAAAAAATTAATATTTAAATTTCATTTGTCATTTTGACATTTCAAATATGTCATATTGACGTTTTAAGGAAAAATTCTAGAAAATGTGGTTTAAAAATCGACAATTTTTTTTAATCAATGTGAAATGACCCAAAAAACACGTCAAAAATAAAAAGAAATTGCGGATGAGTATAGAATAGTGATGGAACGGATAGTGATTTTGTGAAAAGCCGGATATTCCGGAAAAAATATGTTGACTTTCATAAAAGTTATTGGTACCTAGTATCTTTCGTTTTCGAGTTATATCCCAGCCAACGTTCATTCAAAAAAGTTCTAAATTGGCATGATTACTCTTCAGTTGCTGTCAAATAAATTGTCATTTATTGTATCAGAGTGTCTTATACAGGTGGGTCAAAAATTGAATTACCGTTCTTCCATATTCAACCGCAAAAAAGTCGAATGGGAAATAATATGGAGCGTTCCCATATTTTATTAGCCTATCCGAAAGGGAATTTAATTCTCTACAATTTATCTATAAACATTCCTATACCTATTTATGGTAGTTTCTCTCATATTGAGAAATTTATCAAAACATGCAAGAAATCGTTTGTATTTTTATTAGAAGATGTAAAAATATAAACGAATAGAAAAAATAAACGTATAAGAAATGCAACAAAATACGATAAAATATTTATTTCGTTGTCTTCATCACTGGTGACCGGAAATATGCGGTTTCTTTTCGTTTTATCTTTATTAATTTATTGAAATTTTTCCTTGTGATGGGCGTTAGAGCTGTTAGGCATCTCTCATTAAATTCTATATAAGATACTCCGATACAACAAATGACAGTCTATTTGACAGCATCTAAAGAGTAACGGTGCCAATGTAGATCTTTTTTGAATGAAGTATGGGGTTTTTACCAAAAAAGTTTTTACCAACCTATTCTTTTACGTACAATTAAGCGGTGTAATAAAAACTATAGCATTCCATTTAAAATAACGAAGTTATGGTCTACTTCCGGTGGCGGCCATCTTGAAAATATTTTAGATCGATTTAAGTTCCGAATGAACAACCCATGCTACTAAAATTTTAAATCGCTACGAATAGTAGAACCTGAAAAAGTTCTAACGAACCAGTTACGTGAAACACCCTGTATAGTCTTCTGAAAACATTAAATAGTCTTTGCCAACAATATCTAGCTTTCTTCAACAATTAGTATTTAGTCTTTCCAACTATATTTAGCATTTTGGAAACAGTATCTTGTCTTTCCAAGCAGATAATAGTTTCTCCCAGCAGTATTTAGTCTTCTCCAAGCAGGTTGTAGTCTTTTCTAGTAGTATATAGCGCTCTGAAAGCAGTAAGTAGTGTTATGGAAACAGTATCTTGTCTTTCCGATCAGTTTGTAGTTGTTTGTTAGCACTATCTAGTCTTCTCCAAGCAGATTGTAATCTTTTCCACCAGTATCTAGCATTTTGGAAGCAGTAGCTACTTTTTTTGGAGACCATATGTCTTCTTTCCAAGTAGTTATTAGTCTTTTCCAGTGGTATTTAGCATTCTGGTAGTATTAGGTAGCTTTTTGGGAAGCATATCTCTTCTTTCCAAGCAGTTATTAGTCTTTTCCAGCAGTATCTAACATTCTGGAAGTGGCAGGTACCTTTTTGGAAAGCACATTTCTTTTCCAATTACAATTATTAAAGTCTTTGAAAGCAATAGGTGGAAAGCAATAGGTGGTAAAAACATTTAACAGCAGTGTTTAGCGTCCTGGAAGCAATAGGTATTATTTTGAAAACAGTAACTAATTTTTTCCAAGTAAGTTGTAGTCTTTTCCTGCAGTATCTAGCATTTTAGAAGCAGTAGGTAACTTTTTGAAATAGTATTTCCTCTTTCCAAGCAGTTTTGAGTCTTTTACTAGCAGTATTTAATCTTCTGATAGCAATAATTAGTCTTGAGCCAACAGTATTCACGAACTAATAAATTAAATTTAGTTTATAAATAGTAAACAATGACATTTTAGTCATTGTGCGTCAAAAATCTAAGAAACAACCGTATTTCACTCGAAAACATGCGTTTTAACTAAATGTGCTGAAAATATATGGTTAGCACGGTCGATGACGTCACAAAAAGTGACGTCACGTCGAATCTTTAAAGTGACATATTGATTCTTGAATAATTTTTAATTTTAGGCGTTTTTGTGTGGGATGCAGAAGGAAAAAAATATTACGATTTCCTCAGCGCTTATTCAGCTGTAAATCAAGGTCACTGTCATCCAAAAATAACCGAAGCTCTCAAAAAACAAGTCGATATCTTAACATTAACTTCGAGAGCCTTTTTTACCGATGCTTTAGGTGAATACGCCGAGTTTATAACGAAACTTTTCGATTACGATAAAGTTCTTCCAATAAATACCGGAGTCGAAGCCGGCGAAACCGCTTGCAAATTAGCAAGGAAATGGGGCTACTTAAAAAAGAATATTCCAAACGATCAAGCAAAAATTGTTTTTGCCGAAGGAAATTATTGGGGAAGAACTATGGCGGCGATTTCATCATCGACCGATCCAACTTGTCGAGATCGTTATGGTCCTTTCATGCCTGGATTTATGGTTATTCCTTACGACGATGAGAAAGTTTTAGAAGAAACTTTAAGAAATGATCCGAATATTTGTGCTTTTATGGTTGAGCCGATTCAAGGTGAAGCTGGAATCGTCGTCCCTAAACCGGGTTATTTAAAAAAAGTTAGAGAAATTTGTACGAAATACAACGTTTTATGGATTGATGATGAAGTCCAAACTGGTTTGGGGAGAACCGGAAAATTATTGGCGGTTCACCACGAAAATGTTCGCCCGGATATAGTTTGTTTAGGAAAAGCTTTATCAGGAGGAATGATGGCCGTAAAAATTCTAATATTTAATAAAACATTTTTATTAATTGATTTATTTTTAGATTTCTGCAGTTCTTGCAGACGATGAAATAATGCTTTGTATGAAGCCAGGAGAACACGGTTCAACTTACGGCGGAAATCCCTTAGCTTGTAAAGTTGCGATAGCATCGTTAAAAACTTTAATTGACGAAAAAATGATTGAAAATGCCGAAAAATTGGGGAAAATTCTTGTGGACGATTTAAAGAAGTTACCGAAAGAACTCGTTAAGGAGGTTCGAGGAAAAGGAATGATGACGGCTATAGTTATAAAAGAAACTCCTACATTTACCGCTTTAGACGTTTGCAAAAAGTTGAAGGATAATGGCTTATTAGCTAAAAATACGCATGGTAATATCATAAGATTAGCACCTCCTTTGGTTATTAACGAGACCCAATTAAAAGAGTGTACAAAGATTTTAATNTTAAAATAAAAGTTGTTGTATTATGATTAATTCTTAATAAAGAAATAAATATAGCACAAAATAATTTATTTGATATTTGGGTTGCATAACTTAGTATTTAAACTTCGTATATAGGTGTCTCACGTAAACCACAAAGTACATAAATGGCATTAAGGTATCAACATCAAAGTCAACTTAGTTTTGTGTCTAGAATCAGAATACGCAATAAAAACTATATCATTCTATTTAATACAACATGTTTATTTCAGTACCTCGTTATGGAACATTCTGTATGTATAAAAATATTTTCCGTTTATAGTGTGCTAAATTTCCTACAACTTTTGTCTAAGGAAGAACTGCGTATCTCGGCTCCTTAATGCCATTTATGTACTTTGTTGCTTACGTGAGACACTTGTATACCAAGGTTTGTATACAATGTTTAAATACTAAGTTATGCAACCCAAATATCATATAAATTATTTTGTGCTTTTAGTTTTTGAGTTATTTTAATTAGAAGCTTTTTTTATCAATTAACACCGTGTCCTTCAAATCTGAATTTCTTGGCGACTAATCAAGCTAGAAAGTTAAAATTTGTATCATGCAAAATATGGCAGATCTTGTTCATTTTTTGGCTTTATCTGCCATCTTCTGTATTGCTGCCATCTGTGCTTTATGCATAGATGAAGCCGATTTACGAATTCGGCTTGCACATTATCTAGTGTTTCAGCAGAGATATTTCTAAAGCTTTCCCTCATTCTATTCTTCATATCTCCTTTCGTCATTGGAATATTAACGTACCACTTGGGTTTTGACATATCTTCAAAGGAAGAAGTCGCGGGGAGTTAGATCAGGTAATCTTGGTGGCCATGGTATTGGATCTCCACGACCAATCGAATGTTTTTAATATCCAATATTTAAAAAGTTTTGAAAAACATCCCTGAAATAACGTGCAGGTGCCCCGTCGTGTTGAAATATCATTTTTGTCTAGTTTCTAAATCTAGATCTTGTAGCAACTCTGGCAATTCTTCTTCTAAAAAAGTTTCGCAAATTTGTCCCGCCAGTATGCCAGTATTTTGATTATTTACGCGCCTTAACCATAGAGGATATTAGGTTGCATAATATGCATTATTATTATGTCGGTTTACTAACCAGTTATTTTTAAAAGTAGCTTCATCACTAAATAGAATTGATGATACGAAAAGAGGTTCTGTACTATCTTCTCCTGTTGACATCAAATGTGGAGTTCCCCAGGGCAGTGTGCTGGGTCCTTTGCTCTTCTCAATTTTCATAAATAGTATTAGCGATGGTATCTTGTGTATGCAGATGACCAGACTCTATCATTTGTATGCGTGTATTTCGTCAACTGTTAACAACCTCACAGATGCTTTGTTGCATCTTAACAACGATCTCTCTAGCGTACTTGACTGGTCTAGACGTCATGGACTTAATCTGAATCCAGGTAAAACGCAAGCCATTGCATTTGGCACTCACCCCTTGCTGGCACAATTTAATTCCTTAACTACCCTTCAACTGAGGCTTGGCGACACCGTTATTCCGTTTTCTAATACGGTCAAAAATCTTGGTGTGGTAATGGATTCGGCGATGTCTTGGCGGCCACAAGTTCAGGAAGCCTGTAAGAGGGTTTACTTCTGTTTCCATACTTTGAAAAAACTTCGCTGCTATCTTCCTTCTGTTGTACGTCGTAATCTTTGTTATTCTCTCATTTACCCACAAATTGATTATGCCGATGCTGCGTATCCCGATCTGTCCGCAGCCCTTCGGGATAAATTGGAAAGACTTCAGAACAATTGTATACGGTACATTTTTGATTTAGGAAAGTTTCAGCACGTTACTCCATATCGTAACAACCTGCAGATGATGACTTGTCAGAGGCGTAGATCATTTCATATGCTTACTATGTTATACAAAATCGTCGATACCCGTACTCCTGCTTATTTGTCTGATGCCTTTCAGTTTTTAGTATCACATGACTTGCCCACTCGATCAATGTCGGACTCTACACTCATGTTTCCAGTCCATAGTACTGAAATCTACCACAGATTGTTTACAGTGCAGTCGATTGCGTTGTGGAACGATTTGCCTGCCGTTGCTCGCAATGTAGCTAGTTTATTAAGTTATAAAAATGTTATAAAACTCTTCAACTATCGTCTTCTTGACCTATACGTGTTTGTTTTCTTCTCTAGTCTGCCTTTCATCTATCTTTTGCTGCACTTTTTTATGCTCATTCGCTCAGTTTTATTAGCGCATCATTTAGTATTACTTTTTCGGTAATAACTATTTATTTAAAATTACATATACACTGTTACCAGTTGGGTCTCTTGGAAGATATCGCTTCCTGCAATAAATTGATCCGTTTGTCTTGATGTCTATATTTGTTATGAATGTAAATATTTATGTAAATATTTATTTTTGAGGCAATAAACATTATTATTATTATTAAGAATTAATTCTCTATCTGATAGGCTAATCAAATATGCAATTAAATATAGTAAAACAGTAGTTACATTTTTGAACATCCTGTATAAAATAGACCAATGTAGCCAATGGCGCTCTATTTAAGGATATTCAAACAGCAACTGTTACAAATTTTAACTTTCTAGCTCGATTAGTCGCCAAGAAATTCAGATTTGAAAGGCACGGTGTTAATTGCTAAAAAAAGCTTCTAATTAAAATAACTTAAAAACTAAAAGCACTAGGTATTCTTTTGCACGTGTTTTATCAAAGTCTAAGTTGACTTTGATGTTTTGTGTGTAGAATCGGAATACGCAATAAAAACTATATCATTCCATTTAAAATAACATATATTTATTTCAGTACGTCGTTATGGAACATCTCGGCTCCTTAATACCACTTATGTACTTTGTTGCTTACGTGGGACACCTGTATAAAGTATTTTTGTTCATTAAAGTAGAAAATGATGATTCATCAAATTTTATCGTGAAATAATCGTACACAACAACTTAGTTATGTACTTTAGCTTCGATTTTTTTATGATTTTCTATCAAAAGTTTGAAAATTCAAGTACAACCACTCGAAATGAGCGAATTATTGTAAATTGCATACGAGCGAAGCCAAAGTAAACACATTGAAACCGTTTTAATGCGGTTGAAGTGACGATAAAAAAGCGTCAGTGAAAAATAAACACTTCGAGATAGAGGTGAAATGAAAACGTTTTATGATTTAAAAATGTAAATGTTGAAAGAGAAAGTTTGTCGTTAATGTATTAATAAAAAATTGTTTTTTTTTAATAAATGTATTAAATTTTATGATAGTAAAAGAATTTATTTGTTGCAGTTTTATCTATATGCAAGTTTTATTTACTATGTAATCGTCTACGTGGTTTGTTGCAGGCTCATTGGTTTGCAAAACTTGTTCATTCGAGCTCGACCACTTTCCTGCACAACACACGATTCGCAGGAAGGTCAGGAGAGAAGTTTTTTTTTTTAATTCACACGACTAGTTGCATTCAAACACAATTTAATTTATAAAGTTTCTAAACGTCATCGAGTGTTAAAGTTTTGTTAATTAAAAAAACTATAAGCATAAGTAAGTAAAACTTTCTTTATACTCAATATTATCATTTCGTGTGATTTAATTGTTAATTAAAAGTGATACTTTAATTTGTTATTGTTGAATGTAATAAATCGTTGAATGAGGAGTAGATGTAAAGACCCCCAATGAATAATCATAAAATTCTTTATCATCTTGTTGCGTAATTAACACACTCGTGTTATTTTTTTTGTATTTAGGGAACTTCTATTTATAGAAGTGCGAATTTTTTCTCCGTTACATCAGATCAGATTGTCGTGTTAAACTCGAAAAAAAATTCTATTTTAGAATTATTAATTTACAATCTTAGATAATACGAGATTGATTCGATTTAGAGGTGTGTCTTCCACTTTGAAGGGGGATTACCTTTATTTTGATTAAATAAAATCGGAGGATTTTGTTAATCTCTTAAAAAAATTTCAAGGTTTAAAAAAATGTTAAAAGACAACATAACCTAAAATAGCTCAGAAATGGAAAATTATATTAATTATTTCTATTCTTACACCTTAATAATGGCAGTTATCGCTCGATATCTTTTGGCCTGCCCAAGATTCTCTAATCAACGACAGAAACTATTTGCAGGTCTATTTAAGAACACGGGATAGAAAGTTTTAAGAACAGGGAGCCTAAGAAAGAAGAAAGTATACAAATACAACAAGAGTCAGTGGAAACTCAGTAGCTGGAGCATGATATGATCGAATTCGAAATCCAAAACCCAACCAGATGTCAATTAATCAATGAATCAATAACCTAAAATCGAAATAACTGTCAGTTATTTTGACGTGACTAATTTTTTTTAGAATATAATATAAAATATTAACAAAAAATCATTTATGATGTTATAAAAAAGAAATAATACACTTACATTAGTATAAATTTGAAATTTCCGCGAGATTTATTCCCCTTAATACAAAGAAAAATTAAAACTAACCTAACTTAGAAATGTCTATTAAATTAACTGTCAAATTCTTTAACATGAAGGTAGTCATTAAAGCCAACTGAATTAATTCGGAGAATAAACATAAATTGATTGATAAAAAATGTCAAGGTCATTTAAAATTGCACAGCAACTAAATTTTATTATTAGAAATTTAAATTAAAAGAACTGTTTATTTACCAATTATTTATAGACGAAAATAAATTAATTTGCAAAGAAAATTTGAAAATTAAAATTTTTGACGTTTCAACATAACCTATATCAAAATTGACATCTACTAAACGTAACCTAACAATTTTTTGTGGAAAATTTTAACATTTAACTTGTATTTAATCAATGATCTATATCGATATAAGTTTTAAAAACCTTGATAACAATATTTACGATGTACGCGCGCATCGTTCGGTACGGGAATAAAATTTTCTTTCATCATTTACGGAATATTCCAATCGCGCATTATCGCTTACCATCCGGTCCAATTCCCATTATAAAAGGCCAATTGGCCAACGTTTTAATGTGCAAACATGTTGTTGACCCGAACCTGAATTATTAAAATATTATTTATAAACGTTTAATAAATTAATTTATTATTTTCAATTCATTGCATCACGTTAATCTTGTTCTTTTAACATCGAGTGACGTCAATTCAAATTCGATAAAGAACATTTTTAGTTTCTTAAAATAGTTTGTTATTTTTAGTGAAAAATTAATTTATATCTGGTAAGGATTTAATTTATTTAAAAGACATCTTTTTTTTGATTTTCTGTTATAGATATAAACATGCTTTCAAAGTACCACAAATTATTAAAATCCGCCTCAAGGATTGAAAATGCACTGAAAAACTCGCAAAATCGAAACACTTCAACCAAACAAGTCGTTGAAAGAGAGGCTAAATATGCGGCTCATAACTATCATCCTTTACCTGTGGCGTTAACAAAAGGCCAAGGTAAGTTTTTCTTACGTCAGATTGCATAATATATGAATCAAAATGCGTTTTAAAGAAAAATTCAAAAAATTATTTGTTGTAAAAAAATAACCTAAAAAGAACAGAATTATGGGTAATTAATTGAGAAATCTTTAAAAAATCCTTTTTTGAAAGGTGTCTTTTATGACTCAACAATAAATTCTATGAACAATGAATTAAAAACTTACTTATATCGGAAATATTAGGAAAATGCTTGAAAGAATTCCATAAAAATTCTTAACGATTATAACTGCTGTCAAAAATAAACCAAAAATTCAAATTACCAACTTAAAAAAATAAATTTAATTTCGTATTAAACATCCAAACCAACAAATTTATTTAACCAGTAACATCTAATCTATTATCCTCTTCTTTGCAAAAGCTAATAGCTTTCACCTATCTTACTTCCATCGCTTGGGCGGCCTTCACGGAGGTCGTTTCGACGCTGATTTTCCATTTCTAACGTTTTTTACCAATCTATCATTCGCCAGCCGTGACACATGTTCATTCCAAAATCTTTTCCTCGGTATCTTACTCATTACTCCTCCTTTGGTCTCTTAATGTGTTCCCTATTATCGCTCTCAACACTCTCATCTCGTTTGTACGTGTCATCCTTTCGGTTTCAGCCTTGTTAGAGCTCGAGTTTCCGCTGTATATGTCATCACAGGTCTAACACATGCCTTGTATATCATATATATATATATATGTATGTATGTATGGTGGAGTGCGTAATTTTTACGCGCACACTTAGGCCCTAGTGGGCCCCTTGTGCATTCTCTCTTGGAGGCTTGAGGTGGTATGAGAAGAGATATTAACGAGATATTCTCTCATCATATATACAGGTGTGTCAAATGTCTGGAATATAGCCAACTTCGCCATTTGTGATTTTAAAGAAAAATGTTTCAAATACAAGTTTCTTTATTAATCGTGGCGCATTTTTTTTTGCGATTATTGTTATTTTTTTGTTATTTTAAATGGGATACATATATTTTTTTTGCATACTTTGATAGAGGATAAGTCCCTCTATGCGATGAACATATCAAATCATATGGTTGTATAGAAAAAAATCGAGAAAAAATGCGTTTTTTGAAAGTCTTAAATCAGCTAATTACAATCAAAGTAGGCGCCGAAATAACGCCGTTGACAACTTTAAATGTCAAAAAACTGACAGTTATGTTTTTTATTAAGTACTGGCTGAATAATAATTATCTGTCCTTGAATCACACAAAATCCTACTGTTTGAGGTTCCAAACTTACAACTGCCCTTTTTTATAATAAAGATTGTATCACTGACGGTCGTAATTGTTCCTGCTGTGATATTATAAAGAAGGCGGGCAGAATCACTTATAGTGGATGTCAACTTTAAATGGAATTTTCATATTGACTTGGTAGTTAAGAATATCCACAGACTACTATCTTTATTTTTTGTAGATTGGCTAAAGTTAGCTAAAGGTTTTTTATTTTTATTTTGTTTAGTCGGAGCTTTGCTTTAGTTTCTTAGCTTGGGGTAATGCCGCGGAAACTAAATAACCAATACTATCCGATCCAATACTACGGATCTCATTATTCAGATCAAGCAGGTTTCCCAGTGATACTCTGTTTGCGAAATCAAAAGTTCTAACACTTAAACACCTATATCTTACTGCTATATGTAGATACATTTATAAAAATAACTACTGTTTACCTATTGTGCTGCCAAACCATTTTTACTCCATGAAGTAGCTAACATGTTGCAAAAATCAAATGTTCCTGTGTCTAGGAAGGGTGTAGGATAGGCTAACTTTTCGTTCATAGTTAAGAGAATTGTATCAAATTTTAGGTTAGATTTTCATTTTTACAGTGCTTGAACAAATTATCTCGCCTTTAATATAATATAGTGTTTGCTGGAAGATCAACAAGTGTTTTAACACTTAAATTTTTTTGTACATTTATTTTGTTCTGTATTTTTAAACCAAATAAATTTTTCCAAGCGATGTTTTAGGGCACCCGCTATTCTGGCTGCTTTACTCATCTGATCTTTCAAACTCTCTTTCAAGTTTCCATATGGTGAGATTATTGCCTAAATAGTTAAGTTCGGATACTTATTCTATTATTTTTGTTGTTCAGCTTTAGATTGAATCGTCGGCATCTATGTTGAGTTTCTGGGCCTCTTTGTTAAATACCTGCAGCAGCATTCGTATTATTTTATATTAGCAGTCGTTTCTGTCTTGATTATGGTGGTGTGTTAAGTTTTCTAATCGCTTCTATAATGTTAGGGTGTATACCCTTGCGTTTGAGTTCTTCCTCAAGATCCATTAGCTGTATTCTGTCGAATGTCTTAGTCTATAAAGCACATATACACCGGTTCAATGGCCTTCTCTATTACCTGCCTAACGACAAAAACTGCGTCGACAGTCGAACGATTCTTCCGGAAATCTTGTTGTTCTTCACTTAAAGCGGTATCGTGCAAGAATAAACAGTTTCATAGTTTCATTTTTGAACAGCGGTATTGTGACGCTCTTTTTCCATTCGTTTAGTGTTGTTGCGTCTTTCAGTAGCTTATTGTATAATTAAGCTATTTTGCTAGTTCTTCTCCTCCGTTTTTCAACAATTCATTGGGGATGTTGTTCAGGAACTTGGCCATTTTTGAGATGTTTCATTTCACTCATCACCTCTTCTACTGTCATTTGTATGTCTTTGTCGATGTTTATTGTATCTTCTCGTAGCAGTGTATGTCGGTTTTCAGGTCTATAAAGTAGCTTTTCCACTTATCTGTGGAGATATTATTTATTTATACTATCTCGTTTACTTCGTTTTTTGCTGCTCTGAGCATTTTTCATATGCTCTTTTGTGTTCCATATAGGTCACTTTCCGTTCCTCTGCTGAAGTTATCCCATCTTGACGTATGTTCTTCAGTAATAACCTCAATGCTTCATCTACCGTGTGTTGATCTCCGAAAGGTTATGATCTGACCCTAAGTTTGTTAACATTAGTTTCCTTACATCTACTATTTCTTCGTCGATTTGAAGACTCTATTCGTCATTATGTAGTCTATCGTAGATGTTGTGTCTCTGCTTCTATGGCAGGTGATCTTGTATTGAGGTTTATGTTGGAAGTATGTATTCTTGATTCTCAACTTATTGTAAGTACATAGCCGATGAGCATTTCTTCTCGTTCGTTTATATTTTTTTCATTAAACGCGTTCTTGATTCCTGGAATTATTTCCTTTCGCACCGTTTATCTCATAAAAGAATCATTTGGTCCTACTTGGGTATCCTGTCAATTATAGCTACTCGTAGAAATCTAAGGCTTCCTGAACTGACCTTCCATCATCATGTGCATAGACTGAGATTATATACATGGATGTTTTTCCAGTTCAATTCTGCTCCATTCATTTTCCTTTCTTTTTTTTCTCTCGGAGTTTGTCCAAATATCGATATTTTTTGTTGCAACTCATGCTACAGACGTTCTTTTATTATCATCTTAAATAAATAAATTAATTAAATAAACAATCCGTTTTTTTTTCTACAACGATGCGATAAGGTGCAATGTTTATTTTACGATTTTATCTTTAAATCAATAAATCAAATAATTTCCTTTAGGTGTTTACGTTTGGGATGTTGATGGTAAAAAGTACATCGATTTTTTAAGCGGTTATTCCGCGAATAATTTCGGACATTGCCACCCAAAAATCGTTGAAACCTTAAAAGAACAAGCCGGAATTCTTCATCACACCTCAAGGGCTTTTTATTGCGATATTTTCGGTGAATACGCTGAGTATTTAACTAAATATTTTGGATACGATAAAGTTATTCCTATGAATACAGGTAAATTTTAAAAGTAATTAATTAATACTTTCTAATTTAATTCTTTTTGATTTAGGTGTTGAAGCTGATGATACAGCGTGTAAATTATCTAGAAAATGGGGTTATAGAAAGAAGATGATTCCCAAAAATAAAGCAAAAATCATTTTTTGTAGTGATAACTTTTGGGGGCGCTCACTAGCTGCTGTTTCAGCTTCAACGGATCCATTAAGTTTCGAAGATTATGGTCCATTTATGCCGGGATTTTCTTGTATTCCTTATAACGATCTCCAATCTTTAGAACAAGCGATTTCCGATCCAACAGTTTGTGCTTTTATGGTTGAACCGATTCAAGGAGAAGCAGGAATTGTAATTCCCGATGAAGGTTATTTAAAAGGGGTTAGAGATCTTTGCTCGAAATACAACGTTTTATGGATAGCCGATGAGATTCAAACGGGAATGGGAAGAACAGGAAAACTTTTAGCGGTCGATCACGAAAATGTTAAACCGGATATTTTAGTGCTCGGAAAAGCTTTAGGAGGGGGAGTATATCCAGTTTCCGCTTGTTTAGCTAACGACGATGTTATGTCAGTTATTGAACCGGGCACTCACGGTTCAACGTTTGGTGGAAATCCTTTAGGTTCAAAAGTTGCAATTGCAGCTTTGGAAGTTCTTAAAGAAGAGGAGTTGGCCGAAAACGCCGAGCGAATGGGGAGAATTTTTAGGGATGGACTTAAAAGTCTAGTTAAAGATAAAGTTATTAGCATGGTTCGAGGAAAAGGATTATTAAACGCCGTTGTTGTTAATAGAAGTAAGTTTAAGAAAAACGTTTCGATTTAATAACAAATTAAATTTATTTTTAGATTATGCAACCGCATGGGATATTTTATTAAAACTAAAAGACTCGGGAATTATCGCTAAACACACCCACGAGGATATTATTCGATTTTCACCACCTCTAGTCATCAATGAAAATGAAATCTGTCAATCGGTAGATATCATTGGAAGAACTATTAAATCTTTCATGAAATAAAAAAATTATAAAACATTTAAAATGTATAAATTAAGTCGTTAATGTCGTATTATATCTAATAAGATCGTTATTAATTAATTAAATATTTTTTAATGTGTCATAAAAATTCTAGTTTAAATATAGGCAACTAATTTTACGTAAATAATTTATTGAAAATTTGCCCCACGTTTGGAATCCAAATGTATTAAAAAACTGTTATTTGTTCAAAAAAAATTATTTTTAATTAAGTTTTTGAGTTATCTTATCTCAGGGTCCTTTATAAAAACTAATAATTTAGCGAGTTCAGGCTCAAAAAGGAAAGTTTATTTTACAGATTTCTATTTTTAAATTCGTTAACTGAGAGAGAGCGTAACGCCAATAAAGATAGATGTCAAATTGAACAAAAAAAAAATAATTTTTACGTTAAGAAACTACTAAAGATCTTCTAAAAATAATAATCGATAGATTTTCAGTTAAAATGAAAGTAACTTCTCATGATTTTATTACAAAAATAATATGATAATTAGTGTTAATCAAAGTAAAATTATAGCATTTTCAACTCGAATTGTAGGTTACTGTAAATTTCTCTATTAGTCACATCTATTCGCCCCTAGATGGCGCTAAGAAATTAGTTAACCTGTAATATTACATTTTCTTTTAATTATATCACTTTTATATACAAACGTTGTCTAAACTATTTTACCAAGTGATTTTTAAACAAATTTCAACATCTCGCAATTTTTTATGACATGGCTCACGACATTCTATTTGTATAATTGACATAAAAAGTAACAGTAAAATTTCCACTTATCTGATTAGGTTATGTTGTACCTCAATTGGATTGCATTGGTTCCTTTTAGGAATGGAAAATGGACAGGAATCTGGAAAGCTTCGATTCGAATAATTATTCTTCAATCGGACTTCTTTGGGTCCTTGGAAATGTTTTTAGGAACACAAGTAGAGAAAAACTTTTTGAATTAGAGAACCAATTTAAGGTTAGGAAACTATTTTTGATATTTATAGGTTAGATTTTTTTATCAAAATTCAACCATACTCTTGCTCTTACTAAATTAGACTGTCTTCGTTCAACTTTTTCCTCTTCTTATATACCCTTTTCCCCCTCCCCAAAGATTTTTCGTCCTTCTATTTTTAACCCTCGCTTCTGATTGGCTGACGGGTTTCGCGCCATTTCTTCCCTTAAAATAATTTCAAATCTTTCTAAATTCCGAAAACGCCATCTAACGGATTTCTATCGAACTACTCAAAATTCCAAAACTTATTTTATTCATATCTCCTTTAATTCTTCACTAATCTGGATGAAACTTCGTATTTGAAGCATACATTTTTCTATTTCAGCCGTCCATTGAAGGTTTTAAGATACTCCAACCACAAATGAAGTTTGTATTTTACAAATTTAAATCCAATTTTCAAAGTCAAAATCGTCCAAAAATCTTTCGGAAAGTAATAAATTCGATGTAGCCGACGCTGATTTTCCCGTTTTGGATGGTTTAGAAAGGATATTAATAGTTTTAAGAAAATTATGAGCAACTAAAAATTAACTGTCAAATGAATTGAGGTTATGTTTCTCTCTCAGGTAAAATAAATTGTCAAAACTTGTCTTGGAAGCTTTATTTATTTAAAAGCAATAATTCCATAACATCTCGGTGATACAACCGGATCAAATAAATGCGTTAAAAACGAATTTTCAACCCCATTTTCTTTTAAATAAAGTAATCGATCCAATAAAATCAAAGATTCAATAGCGGGGGCCATAAATGCTCTTAATAAAGTAAAAAAATACAATTCCTTCTCTCTATTCACAAATAAATTAAAAACCTCCTCGATATCTGCATCGTTTAAAAAGCTATGATCTAATTCTAATCGTTTAAATGACTCTTTAACGTAATCCCCAAACGAATTAAAATCACGTTTTGATCTGCCAACATTCCTATCGGTTAAATCGGGGAAAAATCGATCAAAAATCACTTCTAAAATAGCTCGGTAAAAAATTGTATTGCTTGGGGGTAATTTTTTTGATAAGATTCGATCGATTGATTGTGCAGATAACATTCTAGCTGGTCTTCCTAGTTTAAAATCGACGGATTTTAGATAATCACTCATCGGGAAACCGATTAATTTAGAATCGGACTCAAATTGTTCTTCTAGAAAATGATAACAACAACTTACATTACAAATTGTTTTAACACTTAAATTTTTAACAAATATGTTTAAAGAAGAAACAGCTAAATGCCCACAAGTATGCAAACCAATTAATGAAATTCCTTCGGGTTTAGCATTAAAAACAGTTTCGATTAATTCATTTAAATTTGTGTTTTCATCCACAAATTGAGTAATTTGTTTATAAAGGTCTGAATTTTCATTCGTTTTACGTTCCCTTGGTGTTAAAACAGTTCGTTTTTGATTTTTTACGATTCCATCCCAATTTTTACTCAGTTTTTCCGCCCGTTTTTTGGCTCCATTTGTGTTTATCTCAGATGAATCAATTCCTAAAACTGGAGTTTTGTAATGAAACGCTAATAATGAGCTTAAATAACCTTTTCCATCACCTAAATCGATGATATGGGAAGTATTTCCGATTAATTTTAATTTAAAAGCGACTGAACTCAAAATTGTGACTTCATGTGATTTTTTATTTTTCATAAATACATCGAGTTTTAAATCGTTTTGAGGTGTTTTATCAAATTTATTATGAAAATCGTTTATGTTGATACAAATATTGCCGTTGTATAAAAGGAATTGTTTGCAATTTTGGGTGAATTTAAATAAATTTGGGGCTAAATCATGGTTTGTTATGGCGTCGTAAAAATCGAATTCGTTTTGATTAAATTCTAATTTTAATTCGTTTGGGGTGCAATTTTCATAAAGGTTTTTATTGAAATAATTAACCATATGACAACTAATTAGAGGATAATATTCTTTTAAATAAACTAAAATCTTATCAATTTGAACCTTAATTTCTTGCATTTTTTTCTAAAATGATAAATTATCTAACTCGGGATAAAATGCGTCCACTTTTAACAAAGCGCATGTTTTTTTAAACAAACTTCTAATATTATCTAATTCACTCAGGATATCAATGTCTTTGTTATTACAGTTTGGGAATTTATTTACTTCATCCACAAGTTTTTTGAGTGATTTTAACACCTTCTCTGATAATTTTTCGGACGATTTTAGATAACCTTCGGCAACAGATAAATAATAACCAAGCTCTGCACCAACCTCAGCGCCTCGATGGTATCCTAAATGATAACCTTCAACATTCTCTTCGTTTTTACCTTTTTCTAATCCTTCCGAATAACCCTCTTCAATCAATTTGTCTTCACTAAACACTATATTATCGAATACTTCGTTTATATCAGCATCATTTTCATTTATATCTAGTTATTAAAGTTAAAAATTAGAATTAATTACATTTTTATGAATAAACTAACCTGTCATTTTAATTTATAGGTTATGTAACGTCTGAAATAGGGGTTGCCTATCTTAAAATATTTAAATAACATTTTGTTATAAGAATAACATAGTTTATAAACAAAGTATATTTATGCCTCTTAAGACGTACATGTTACTATTTACATTTATAAATCATATCGCAACTAATATTTGCTTTTTATAACGATTAAAAATTAATTAATAAAGAGTTAACATTCCCTTTGTTTCTACCTTTTTCTAATCCTTCCAAATAACCCTCATCAATCAATTTGTCTTCACTAAACACTATGTCATCGAAAACTTCGTTTATATCAGCATCATTTATATTTAGTTATTAAAGTTAAAATTAGAATTACATTTTAATAAATAAACTAACCTGTCATATTAATTTATAGGTTATGTAGCGTCTGAAATTGGGGTTGCCTATCTTAATATGTTTAAATAACATTTTGTTGTAAAATAAGAATAAATTTCTATAAACAAAGTATATTTATGCTTCTTAAACAGTACAAGTTACTATTTACATTTATGAATCGTATCGTAACTAATATTTGCTTTTTATAAGAATGAAAATTAATTAATAAAGAGTTAACATTCTCTTCTTTTCTACCTTTTTCTAATCCTTCCGAATAACCCTCTACAATCAATTTGTCTTCACCAAACACTATGTTATCGAATACTTCGTTTAAATCAGCATAATTTTCATTTATATTTAGTTTTTAAAGTTAAAGCTGTCATTTTAATTTATAGGTTATATAACGTCTGAAATTTGGGTTGCCTATCTTAAAATGTTTAAATAACATTTTGTTGTAAAAAAAGAATAAATTTCTATAAACAAAGTATATTTATGCCTCTTAAAAAGTACAAGTTACTATTTACATTTATAAATCGTATCGTAACTAATATTTGCTTTTTATTACAATCAAAATTAATTAATAAAGAGTTAAGTAATAAATAACACAATGTTAATAATAAGAAATATCCTAAAATCATATATACAACAATATAAAACTCTTTAATAAGTCTAAAAAAGGATTTTACATTAGGAACAAAGTCCAAAAATAAATGATACTCTTCTAAGTAGATCAATTTCAAATGAAAATCTAAAATAAAATTCAACATTCCTCATCTACCCACTTTTGAAGCCGCTACAGCTGCCACTAAAGCTGCTCCTCTTCCACTTCCATCTTCAGACAACATCAAATCAAACTGAATTAAAAACGTTTGGTTAAAAATTTGCAAAAAATTCTTTTAATTTTAATACCTTAATTCCGGGATTAGTTAATTCACCAATTCCTTTCATCATTAATCCGTGGAAATGCGGGTGAAACCTATAAACACTTCCATCGACCCCAATTGTGACATGCTGCTCACCCATTCGATTTAATAAAGCAGCTAGCGTGGCAGAAACTAAAGAGGCGGCCCTTCTTGAGACCACCTCACAAACGAATCTTACGTTCACCATATCTTGTTCGGAAGCGTGACCCAATCCCATTTCCAACATGATCTGTTTTTGCTTTGTAAAAACCCCCGTTGGATCACTTTCGATTTCCGACACATATTTTGTATAGAATCGTTCCCGCTTTTCTAATTCAGGGGATGATTTTCCGCCAAATAACAAACCCTCCTTCGATAATTTAACGAGAACTAATCGAACCAATTCTCCCATATACATACCAGAAATCATTTTTTCAAATCTAACCAAAAAAAATTTTAAATTATTTTGACGTATTATTGGTTGCCTAATTTTGTTGATTATTTTTTTTAAAAAATTTTACTTACTTTTGTTTGCCTGGATTAATTGAATTTTGGTCAATTTCTTTGTCGAATTCGGTGAAAATAAAATCGAGACCCCCATCATCGCCGAAAGCCCCCCATTCCGTGTTAATTAAAACTTCATCAGATCCGGTGCTGGGTTCGTCAAAAAATTCAGCATTTTTTTGCTTCTCAACATAACAAGCATTTGTACCAGTTCCTAAACAACAATATTTAATTAATTTCCTTTTAAAACAGATTAAGAGAGGAAGATTTGGAAAATTAGGTTGATGGTTTTCGGGATCATTTTATTTACCGATAATCAACCCAATTTTGCAATTAGGATTCTTCCAAGCGCAGGACATCAAAGTTCCGGTTGTGTCGTTTAAAACGGCTGTGATTTTAAGTTTGATGTCCTGAAAGAAAAGAAAAAACTAAGAAACACAAAATAAAACGAAAATTTAACTACTTTTAATGTGAAAAAAAATGCTTTTTACATTTTCCTCTCACCAATAATTAATCCAACTTTACAAAATCGCGATCTCCACGCGCAAGCAACCAAAGTACCCGTCGAATCATTCAAAATAGCCATAATACGACTTTTTAACTAAATCCAAAATAAATTAAATTTAAAATTTTTTGAAGTTAGGCAACCCAATTAATCCATTAAAAAATTTTGATTAATATCTTTTTGATTATTATCTTACCCCTCGTTTATCAACGGCTGTCTTTAAAAACTCAACAACGTCATTTCCTTCAACACCGGTGCATTTAAACCCTTTCGTCCATCGACTTAAAATCCCTTTACTTAATCCAACTTGTTGTAATGGAAAACTAAATGTAAATCCTAAAGGTAAAGGTTCTGGGCCGATTTTAACTTCCGCCATAAACGTTGCCATACACTCGGCGATGTGATCGAAAAGTTGTGTTCCAGTACCGGTCATAATATTTTTTGGAATGGCAAAGATCTTGGAGCGCATTTCGAAATGTTTCTCACTCAATTCGATTAATAAAACGCGAAAATTCGTTCCTCCCAAATCCAAAGCAAGGAACTTTCCTTTTTCTAAACCAAAATAAAAATTTTTAATAATCGGAAATGGAAAAATTAAATATTAAGTACCTTGTCCCGTTGGTAAATGTTGAACGTAAGTAACAAAACATTTAACCGGCGAAGAAGCGTGTGTGGCCTTTTTTAATCCAGCTTCAACATCATTATTGAATTTTAACATTATTTGTCGACAATCATCCGTGGAAAGAATTAGTTTTTTACATCTATCTCGAATCTAAAAATAATAAAAAATAAATTTACTAACAAAAGTAATAAATTATTAAGAAAGGAAATGGAAATAAATGATAAATACTTAAAAATATTTCTATTTTTTTAAGATTTTAAGATTATGTCTATCAATAAAACTGATTATAACGCGATAATATCAAATTCCAATGAAACAATTTGCTGGAAAAGATTAATAAATTTAATAACAATAAATAACAAATTCTGAATGGGAAATTTCTTTAAATGTTTTCTTTTGAATAGTATGTGAAGATTACTGACTATCTAATGGCAGGACTTTAAACTTTAAAGTACCGATAATTTGACAGTTTATGTCAATTTGACATTTAAATGTCATTTTGATTAAAGTAAGGTTTTTAGCATTTTTTTGAGCATTATAGTGATAATGATTTAAAAATATACATTTTGGACTTTATATAGATAAAGTTCAAGGTTTCAAAAACATTTTTTATCTAAAAGGGATTTTTTTAGGTTATCAAAAATCTCGCATATTTTAATGTATTAATTTATTACAAATTAATAACCGGTAATTTCGCTTCAAGGTCGCAAATAGGAAAGTAAAATATCATTTTAATTTCTTTATAATCACAAATTTAAATTTCCCGCTACAAATCTTGAATTCCAATAATTTAATTCCACATTCCCCCGCAGGGTGACCTTTAACTGACACTATTTGAAAGTAATTTACGCGTAGACTTGTTATTTTTTTTTGTATAATCAAAATCAACAACTTAACTCATTCTTTGAACCAAACACATTCAAAACCCGTTTTAAAATAAAACCCTACGAAATAATAACCCGTTTTTAATCTTAACGCACACATACACACACCCTTATTTTCAACCAATCAGAAAAAAGAATTCTTAATGTCAAAAGAAAATACACGGCATACCTGATAATGAGGTTGAGGTAATTTAGTTTTTAGGCCCATTTTTAATTAAAATGCACTACAATCACAATAATATCGAAAAAAAGGAAAAATTTGTATCACGTGGTTAACCTTAACGGTTTCGAAACGCCTTCGTAATGTGAATGAAAGTTTACGTGCTGTATTTGAGTATTTACGTTGACGAGAAGATGCCGCGCAAGCGTTAACCAAGCCTCCTGGACCTTGCCGTTTGATTGGTTAAAGATGGAGAGGTGTGTGTCATACATCCGGAAAGAGATCGAAGATATAAGAATTCAATGAAATAGAAAGAGATGAAGGAGTTGATGCAATCAAAAAAAAATAGTTCGAATATATCAAAATAAGAATTTGATCATGTTAATGTCGTTGTTGTTTGAGGTTATGTTATTATTTAATTTAAGTGATTGGTGTTTGTGGTGTAATTTGTTGTAATATTTAAATTATGTAAGATTTAATAGAGTTGTAAGTTGGGGAAATGTTGCCTAATCGGAGTGAAAGAGAAATTTATGATATATACAGGTACGTTTTCAATTCTTTAAATATTTTTGAGGTTAATTTTTTTAATTAAATTATTTAAGTAGATAATTAACTATGGTTTTAAAACAATTATTATGAACGTTTTATCTTTATTAAATTGAGCCTAAAAAAATGTTTTTAATCTATCCGCAAAAAAAACATGAAATTCTTTATCTTTAAAGCGATTTATTTTAACGTCTACAAGGTTTAGAAATATGCGATAAAATAATTACGTCATTAACCAAGGGGACTTTGAAATTAATAAATAGGTTAAGATTGTTTATAATTTAAAAAATAAATTCTTTGCCTTTTTAAATAATTTCGCAAAGTAATGCGCAGTAAATTTATCAAAGTAGTGAATAACAAAGAGAAGTCAGCATATTTTCCGATGAACTAGCTGGTAAAACCTCCACAAGTTACAAATGCAGTAAATTCCAGTAAATTAATCATTCATTTAAAAACAATAAATGACGGGAGATTTCATTACGTGGATTAATCTTGTTTGTAAAGGAAATTGATAAACGGATTAAATTAAAAATTTATATCGCTTTATGATATCACAACAAAAAATTAAATAAATAAAATTAAAGGTTATGTTGCTAAATTGACGGATCGAAATTGACACTTTTTGGTTGCTAATTTCACTTTGTACTTTAAGGGATGCGCAAAAAATGTCATTTTCAATTAATTCGATTTTAAATCGACGAAAAATATTTAAAACGAGATGAAATAATAAGAAAATTGGAAAAAAATTATTGTTTTTGATAAAAAAGGTTAAGTAAAGTAATCTCGCAGTACAAAAAGAAATGTCAAAATAAAACGTCATTTATAATTCATTTTTGGTTTAAAAATGACGAAAACTATTGAAAATTGAATGAATTTATAGCGAAAATCATTATGTTGATAAGAAAATTAGATAATGGCGTTAAGCCACATAGAAAAATAAGAATTTTCGATACAAAAACTCCGAGGTGAGAAATAAACATAACCTCACTTTTACGTTGAATAAATAAATCGTTATGCCGTTTTTTTGAATGCTAATTTGACCTCACAGTACAAAAAGAAATGTCAAAATAAAACGGGGTTAAAACGTCATTTATAATTTATTTTTGGTTTAAAAATCGACGAAAAATGTTGAAATTTGAATGAAATTATAAAGAAAATCATTCTGTTGATGGGAAATTCTAAAAATGAAAAAAAAATAAGAATTTTTGGTAAAAAAAAACTCCGAGGTAAGAAATAAACACAACCTCACTTTAAATTGACATTTAATGATTTAATCTAATTTTAGATTTATTTTAGGGAAAAAACGTATTTAATGGAACTAATTATATTGATAATGATTTGATAAATATTAACTGGATTAAATATCTTTAAAAATGATGGATGAGGTTAAAATAGTGAAACAAATACGTACAGCTTCTTGGGGGACTAATAAGCTCTCTTTTTCTTGTTTTATCGTAGACGGGTTATTTTGTGTGTTTGAAACAACAGTTTGAGAAGGTTTTTCTTTACTTCTGCATGAATTTCCCATTGTTTTCAAAGAGTTTAACGTTATTTGAACACCACACTCAATTTCGAATCAATACTGAAAGTTTTATCTTAAATTGCCAATATATTTTGAAAAGATTTTTTTGGTTATCTTTTGGTTATCTTTTGAACCATTTCCTTCGATTAGGTTTTTTATTTTGGCGCAAAAAATGGTCAATTTTATCGGATAAATAATAAAGTCGGGGTAACATAAAACAGGTTGTATAAAATTAATGATGTAGGATTAGAGTTCGATTAATTAATTGTTATTGTTTAATTTAAATATGAAAGGGGAAGATTTTTATGTATGATATGAATGATAATGTCAAGTATTTTTAGGTGTCCCATGCAAAATAAGATAAAAAACGATAAAACTTGTCGGCGTTTAAAAATATTTGAGGATTTGTTTTATCTGATAAAAAAGTCTGACTTTATTCACACCCCTTCAAAAATAAAATTGATTATTATTAATTATTTTATAATTAAAATATTAAAAATTTCTTTTTTTAACTCATTTTAGTCATCTTAATCATCGAAAGTTTATTAGAAATGTGAAGAACCTCGTGTCATTGAGTGACATTGAGAGAAAAACATTTTTTTCCTACTACTTTTTTTGATTTAGTATATTTTATTTACTTTTTTATCGCATTATCGTCATTTTATCGTTGTGGAGGTGTGATTTCCAATAAAAATTAAGCACAAAGAATGTGGGTGTGTAAACAAGTGTAACAATAACGCGTAATTTATAATGTTAAGGACATTTTTTTATTTAATCCTTTTCTAATTTAAGTAACGTTCATGAACTTGAATTTAAATTCTCAACACAATCAATGTGAATCAGGTCAAGTATCAGCTGGTTGTGCTCCAGATATTTAACCCAACCCAATCAATAATTAATTGTTTTATGTGGATAACAAATTTCTTTAATAAATTTTGTTCTACATCAAATTTATTATTTTAAATTATTTTAATGTTGTAATTGTGATAAAGATTTTGACATATTTATCAAAAACAAGAAACCGACGTGATTAGTACATGATGTCCGCATGATTAGAATGTGATGATTAGAGTTAAAAAGATTCGAAATAACGCTGACCTCTGAAGCGAATAGAAATTTTATGATTTCAATGAAGATTTATTTTCATTTTTGATTATTTCTATTTTGTAACTAGATTTATGTTGGCTGTACCTATTAGTATTGTTATCCGGGGATTATTTACCTTAGTAAATTTAACTGAAATAACGTTAATCCGTAATCTTACTCAATATTCCTGATAGGTCATTCAACCCTGGTAAAATATAACTTTACTTAAACCTTCTATTTTCTTTTTGTTTATGGAATAAACAAGAAAGAGGAAAGAGCCAAGATAGTAAGTAATCAATAATTGGACCGCGTTATACATTACTTGACTAAGCGTTTTGAGATTTTCATGCTGTCTGGTGGGTAAAGGTGTAACTTATCTTAGAAAAAATGCAGAATATCGAAAGACTTAAAATACTATTTGTTTTAAAGGATAAAGCTAAGCGCCAATCACGTTATACGATTTCAAGTCCGATTTGCATCATACGTCTAAGAACCGACTTAGATACACCAAGAAATTCTACAATAGAAAAAATTGATGAACCTACAATTTCGGACATTTTATTTTATATAGAATTACAAATAGATTAACATCTCTCATATACAAACGACAGCAGTAGATAGCGCTAGTTACCATAAGATATCACTATGTTGCATATTTCTATTGCACTAAAACTAGAACTAACACTAGACCTAGAACTAGAAATATTCGGGTTTAGCCGTGCGTCTGAAGACGGTTTAGTCGTGAAAAATACTTTCAGTTGTCAATGTCAATTTTAATTTTATTATTATATTCGTAATCTTCATAAAATAACCTTTAAAGTGAGTCCAAACTTGACGCATTTATCTCAAAAAACCAAAAAGTTCGAATTTTTAATTTTGACATATTTGTCAACTTCATAAAAAATCCTTTAAAATGAGTCCAAACTCGACATATTTAACTTTGATATTAATGGAGATACAATCACTTCCGGTTTGAAACGTCAACGTCAATTTTGACATATTTGTAATCTTTATTAAAAACCCTTTAAAATGAGTCCAAACAAGACGTACTTATCTCGAAAAACAAAAAAGTTAGAATAAAAAACATTAAACCCGAAGTTAGCAACAATGAAGATAGCAATTTAAGTTTTAAATATTAATACCAACCTTAATTTTTGATTTTTTTTTATTATATTTTTGTTTTTGTGACAAATATTAAGACATTTTATAAAAATTAAGAATATGTCAAAATGACATTGACATTTCAAACCGGAAGTTGCTTATATCTCGAGTAATATTGGAATTAAACGTATCATGTTTGGACTCATTTTAAAGGATTTTTCACGACGATTACAAATATGTCAAAATTGACGTTGACATTCTTAACCGGAAGTTGACCATAACTTCATTAATATTGAAGATAAATATGTCGTGTTTGTACTCATTTTAAAGGATTTTTAATGAAGATTACAAATAAGTCAAAATTGAGGTTGAAATTTTAAACCTGAAGTTAGTTATCATATAAAGGACAAACGGACAACTTCATGGTGTTATTTCATGATGTATTCTTTATTAAAAAAACCTTTAAAATGAGTCCAAACAAGACACACTTATCTCAAAAAACAAAAACGTTAGAATAAAAAACATTAAACCCAAAGTTAGCAACAATGAAGATAGCAATTCAATTTTTAACAATTAATACCAACCTTAATTTTTTATTTTTTTTTATTATATTTTTGTTTTTGTGACAAATATTAAGACATTTTATAAAAATTAAGAATATGTCGAAAAGACGTTGACATTTCAAACCGGAAGTTGCTTATACCTCGAGTAATATTGGAATTAAACGTATCATGTTTGAATTCATTTTAAAGGATTTTTCACGACGATTACAAATATGTCAAAATTGACGTTGACATTTCTAGCCGGAACTTGACCATAACTTCATGAATATTGAAGATAAATATGTTGTGTTTGTACTCATTTTAAAGGATTTTTAATGAAGATTACAAATATGTCAAAATTGAGGTTGACATTTTAAACCTGAAGTTAATTATCATATAATAGGAGTTTTATAACTAAAATTAATCTAGTGTTAGTCACTTTTCCGAACTTTTTTTCAATTTTTTTTGGGTCATTTCACGTTGATTAAAAAAAAATCACCGATTTTTAAGTCATATGATAATTCTTGAATTTTTCCCAAATTACTTAATATATCTTTTGTTAAAAAAGAGCGTTCTTAATTTCATTTTACAACTTTTAAACTTTAATTTTGTAAATTAGTAACTAATAATCTGATTTCGACTTTGATATGTGATCTTTTTTAACAAAACAAAAAGAAATATTAAGAAACTTGTTTGTAAAATGGATAACATGAGATGTTAATCTATTTGTAGAGTCTCTGAAGATGGCCAAGGGTCGAAACTGGTTAGATTTAAATTCTATATAAACTAAAAACCAGTTTTAAAGTACAAATTCAAACTCTCGATTATTTTCTTCAATAATTTTTACACGAATCGTCATCATTTTGTCTCTAGTTTTAGTGATTAAATTTATGTCACGACTTACATAAACAGCCTGTATAATCGTAAAACTAGCTGTCATCAGTGTTCTATGATAAAAATGGACAAGTACCAAACAATTTTCAATAGTTTGAGCCTGTCTATTCTGAGAAGTCTTATATTTTTAGAGAGATGAAAACGAAAATCTCGTTTTTCTCAACATTATTCATTTGTGGGTAGTCAAGTGATGCATAACGCGGTCCAATTGTTCAAATAAAATTGTTCTATGTAGTATTTCAAGGTTGTTAACTTGAAATAATTTGACGTTTGTGTAGTTATAGATAATTTGGTACAAAATCAATAAGAAATCATTTAAAAGTATAATGAGAGGTATTTGAAAAGTTTTGAGGTTATGTTTATGACAAACGTCAATTCGCGTCTATATTGAATAACTTGATGTTAGCAACAAAGCATTTAACCAACTTCAGAGTATTTCCAAATAGAATTTATTTATTACTATTCAATTCATTTGGTTTTTTATATCATTGTTCTATATGAAGCAATTATAATAATAAACCACAAATTTCGTATCTTCACATTAACTTGTTAATCTACAAAGATTTAGAAGAAATCGAAATTTGACGTTTTCTTCTGTCAAATCGGCAAGATAACCTAAAATTTTAATTTGTCACTTCAAATTAATTTTTTTATTAAAAATCGATATAATTATTGAAAAAATACGTTTTAAACTGTGTTAGTCTCAAATGATATTGAATCACGCTATTTTTTGTAAGTTTATAAAAGATAACAACAGGATGTGGGAAAAAAATAGATACAAAAAAAACCATTAAAAAGTGTACAAAAATTATTAAAAAAACATTCTGTGTTGTGTAATATAACGCGACAGAAACCTCGTTTTATTTGACGATTAAAAATAAAAGTTCTAGATTACGTAATTGTTGTTATATACGCGTTTTAGAAAACGTGCCCCGATTTTAAAACAATTTTTGAGTTGCTGTATATAACTTGATGAATCCTTTGTGAGTTTATCGGGTTGTATTTCAATTAAATCATCTTGGAAATTCCCAGTTGAACGTTTCAAATTTAAAATTAAAATTTCTCAATATTCATCATAATTTTTTTTAATGATTTAATTGAAATCAATTAGAAAGAATAAATGCTCGTTTTAAAGCGGAATTATTTTAAAAATAATTTTTTTGTGGGAAAATTTTGGATATAATTTGAAATAAATTAAAATAAATTTAAACAAAATGTTGTATAGCGATGGAATATTAACAAATTGTACCAGGAGAACAGAATCATTGAGGAGATAGTAATTTGTGCAACGCGAACGGATGCGGGACTTTCGTTGTAATACCGTTCGTTTTGTTGCAAACTCAAAAAAAAAAAATCCCCCCATTGGGTCCTTGGTATAACGGTCCAATAACGGTGCGGAACTCGAGGCGATTTAAAACACTTTGAATGAAGAGAAGTGAGAAGTGAAAGTTTTTTTTTGGCGCGAAAAAATTTTTAATATAAAACATTAAATTCTTACTTGATTTTTTGTACCACAATCGCTGTCTCTTCCGGTGGTTGTAACCGTAATATCACGACTCCCCAATTTTTTAGCGACTTTTCCTCCATAATTACGGCTTATGAATTGACACAAACTACCGATGGATTTATAACCGACGTTGCACCGCATCACAAAATTCCAAATTTAGACGAACCTCTCGAAATTAATCGAATCGAAAATTACACGAAAACCGAAAAGATTTTTTTCATCACGGCAGATTTTTAAATTGACATTTTCAAAGGTTTTTGACAACTGACAATTGATCAACAAATTTATTGAAGTATAAATAAATTAAAATAGACATATTTAGGGGGGATGTTGAAGAGTAAGAATAAAATTCAAAAACGATTATTAATTTATTTTACTTATTTAAAGAAATTATTTTATTGACTTTTAATTTGATGTTTAAATATCAATTTTATTCTATGCACCCACAGACGACTCACAGATAGACATCAAGGACTGATTTTTCGATATGCTCTTTGAGGAAATAAATAAAACAAGAAATGGACGAGAAATAATAAATAAAGATCTAAACGGGAGAGTAGCGAAGTCCTAAAATAGTTAGGTGGTAGCACGATATGGAGAAAATAACCCCGGAGGATGTCAACAATCACAGATGGGCTTCCAATGATGAATTGTTTAATATACTATTTCGAAACTCATATTAGAACAGGTCATGGAGGAAGAAGACATATGCTTATAGAATTGTAAGTTAAATACAAAAATATAGTTAACAAAGTTTGTCCAGCTACGACCATTTAAAACTAAGAGAGTGGAAGAAGTGGGATACCACTTGCTTCATATTCTCCTAACATTTGGTGCCCCAGCGATATTACATTCGGATAATGGTAGAGAATTTATTAATCGAGTTGTATCCGAACTATGTAGTATTTGGAAGGACGTTAAGATAGTTCACGGAAAGCCTAGTTATAGTCAAATACAAGGTTCAATAAAAGAGCCAATCAGGATATACAAAATATGTTAACTTCATGGATGATCGATAATGATTCAAAAAAATGGTTAGAAGGTTTGTCCAATTTGCCAAGCACACAACATACAACGAGTTACTTTCCCTGAATGAGATTTCTAATCAAGAAATATCGCTGAGAGAAGCAGCTTCAGCTAATATGAAAAGTAAAGGACAAAGCTATATACGTTGTAATTGCAAAAAAAAAGTGCCATAGCAGTTTAAGTTGTTACAGGTGTAAGTGAGAAATATTGATATTTGACAAATATTTCGGACATACGTATATATTACGAGTTGGTGAATGTTGACATTTACTAGGGGATGTCGACATTTACCAGATTTCGGTCTTACACGGTAACATATATACCACATAAGTATACCGGAATACAAAGAACCAAAGATTTAAGATCTATAATAAACTACACCGCAATAAAGCAAAATCAGGCAATAAAAGCACATGATATAAAAGTACTTGCTAAGTACTAAGAATACTACTATGCACATATGGATCAAAAGCATGTAGTCTGACAGATAGCGATACAAAGAAACTTTTTGTTTTTGAAAGAAAAATAATCGGACGAATATTCGGACCAATATGTGAGCGAGGGGAATGGCAAATACGAACGAATACAAAGATTGAAGGTGTATCAGGTGGTTTGGACATGTCATGAGAATGGCAAATCACCAGCTATCAAGAAGAATGTTTGACTCTAGCATGACAGGGGATGATACCAAGGTCAACCTTGAAATCGCTACACGGATGAACTGGAGAGGGATCTTCGAAGTATGGTGTAAAAGGATCACTTTCAACATTATTTATTATATTTATTAACATAAGAAATAACATAAGGATATAAGAAAACTATAAGTGACACCACGTAGAATGGAGAAATCCATGTCGCTATTGTCCCTGAGAGACCGAATCTGAAATGAAGAAGTGAGAAGAAGAACAGGCGTAGAGGACATCATCGTACGTATTACGAGGCTAAAATGGAGGACACGTGGCTAGACTGAGAGATGGTAGGTGGACGAAAAAGAACGCTGGAATGGCGATCGAGAGCAGATAAACGCAGTTGGGGTAGATCACCGACTCGATGGACAGAACAGGTCATGGAGGAAGAAGACATATGCTTTAAGAATTGTAAGTTAAATACAAAAATATAGTTAACAAAGTTTGTTCAGCTACGACCATTTATAACTAAGAGAGTGGAAGAAGTGGTATACCACTTGCTTCATATTCTCCTGACATTTATAATAATGGTAGAGAATTTATTAATCAAGTTGTATCCGAACTATGTAGTATTTGGAAGGACGTTAAGATAGTTCATGGAAAGCCTAGTCATAGTCAAACACAAGGATCAGTCGAAAAAGCCAATCAGGATATACAAAATGTGTTAACTTCATGGATGATCGATAATGATTCAAAGAAATGGTTAGAAGGTTTGTCCAATTTGCGAAGGACACAACAGCCTTGTTTGGCGTTAAACCAAAAAGAAGCAAAAAGAATGTTCGAGTCTAATATGACAGGGAGATGATACCAAGGTCAACCTTGAAATCGCTACAAGGATGAACTGGAGAGGGATCTTCGAAGTATGGAGGTGCGAAATTAGAAAGGCAGAACTGCAGACTAAAGTAAGATGTAAAAGGATCATTTTCTGGTTAAATCGCGAATGGACATAAAATATAGAAAATAGGAAGAGAAAAGTACAGAGAAGGCAAAACTGGAAAGACAACGAGAAAATACTACAATATAGACGGCTTGAAATCGATTCCAGGAGCTACCTCTACAAACTACGATTAGCACAAAAGTTGGAGCGAGAAATTATTGGCACGGCAGAAAAAACCTACGAGGAACTAAAAGACAAAATGCATGAAACTGCCACAGAAAAAGATATTATACATATAATTTATACATATATAATTTTACCAACACTAAACGAATGCAGAATTGACCAATGGTACTCCAATATTATCTATAATATTTATAAAAACGCAACGACAACAGTTAACACACTATGACAAAGAAAATATACACAAAGAGGTAGATACAATGTCTCCAAAGCTATTCGCGGCAGTTCTAGAACATGCATTCAAAAGTTTAGATTGGGAAAATAAGGGTATTATGGTCGATGGGGAAAGATTGAATCATCTCAGATTTGCAGATGATATAGTCTTAATATCAGAAGACCTGTAGGACTGAAAATAAACTACAATAAAAAAGAATGATGACAAATTTAGTACCCAGCGAACTTGTGAAGATGGAAAACAAGATCACTGAGAAATACATATACCTTGGCCATGAAATCCGGATTGATAGAGACAATCATACAAGCGAGCTCTCGAGATGAATAATCTTAGGTTGGGCAGCTTATGGAAAATTTCGGGACATATTTAAGACGAATATCCCCATAACCATGAAGCGAAAAGCTTTCAATCAATGTGTGCTCGCACTTTTAACATACGGGACTGAAACATCACTTACGAAGACATCTGTAAGAAAATTACAGGTGACACCACGCAGAATGGAGAGATCCATGTCGGGGTTGTCCATGAAAATGTATTCTATTATAGTCCTCTGATAGAACCACCTACATTAGAGGAAGCCGAGCTAGCTCTGCAAGCCCAAAAGAACAACAAATCATCTGGATTTGATGAAATAGCTATAAAACTATATAAAACAGCCGGGGAAATCTTTTAGAACAACTTTACACTTTAATAGTTAACATATAGAATGAAGAAAAGATACCCCAGGACTGGAAAAGAAGCGTTATCATCCCAATTCACAAAAGAGGAGACAAACTAACATAAAAACTATCGCGGAATCTCCCTACTGTGTACACCGTATAAAATATTCACATACATACTCAACAAACGAATACAGATATATTACACGGAGGACTTCATTGGTAATCACCAATGAGCAGGTTTCAGGCCAGGCAGATCCATTATTGAGCAGCTATTTAGCGTCAAAAGATGTAAGCCAGATTTTCGTAGAATTTGACTCCATAAGAAGAGAGAGGATATATAACATTATGAACGAATTTGGAATACCCATAAAATTAAGCAGATTAGTGAAAACTACAATGACGGATACCACAGCATATGTCAGAATACAGAATCAGATGACCAACCTATTCAAAATAACACAAGGATTGAAACAGGCTTATCGATTAACACACTTCACTATGGCTTATCATGGACAACAGCGAGCCATCGCCATTGTGTAGAGGGGTGATGGCCTGAAGTGATCATAAGTGGTAGATAATGGTGATGGTAATGGCAAAGGATGGCTTTAGGAGCGGTCGGACACCACATTAAAGGGCGCCATCATGCGCAGTGGCATATCCACACAGTGGGCCATCATTTCCCTCTGGCCAATCTAGACCTAGACTTGGGTCATTTAGACTATACCACTGTGTGGAAGCAAACATGCTAGCCATCATTAATGGTGGCCATCATGGCGACCATTCTAGTGGTCCATCATGAGCCATAGTGAAGAGGGGTCATTAGTATAACGTCATCACTTGAAAAGGTATATGGAAGAGTCCTGAAAACTAGGATAGAAAGGTGGTTTCAGACCTAGTTGATAAAGGTAATGCATTCGATTTTGTGGAATAGCAACCTAACGATACAATCAAAGAAAAATATTTTTAGAGCCATTATAGAACCATTAATGACGTATGGGTCAGAAGTGTGGGTGAGACACAAAGACTTAACTCGAAGACTGCTAGCAGCAGAGATGTCTTGGAGAAGATACTGCGGCATAATCATGCTGAATCGAGTTGAAAATGAAGAAATAAGAAGCAACTAAAATGGTATGAACATCTACGTTGAATAAGTAAAGAGAGAATCCCACTTAACGTTTTGAACTTGGCCTAGGAAAATATGGATCCAGGATATTAATGTGGACATGAAGAGGAGAGGACTGGGTGAAGATGATTGGAACGATAAGGACCACTGGCACTGTTGGGATTCGAGAAGTGACAATAAAAAAAGCTGCAAATAAATCTAAATTAACGAAATATTAATTATTATTTATTTTATATCAAGTTGGTAATTAATTTGACGTTTATTTTACATAACCTCAAACTTAGTTTTATTACAAAAGTTTCTACATTTACAACTAATTAATAATAATTAAGTAATAAAACTCTTCATTTCTTTTTATAAATTAATTCTTAATACATATCAGAAATTGCGTCGATTTGTTTAGTTGGTAACAACGGCTTCGTCTTTTGCAGCCGCAACGGCTGCCACTAATGCGGCGCCTCTTCCACTTCCATCTTCCGATAACATCAAATCAAACTTAAATAAAAAAATAATAAATGTTTAATTGATAAATAATTAATATTTACCTTTCTTCCAGGATCGACTAACTCACTAATTTTATGCATCATAAGTCCATGGAAATACGGATGAAACCTATAAACACTTCCATCAACACCGATCGTTACATGGGGTTCACCCATTTTATTTAATAAAGCTGCTAATGTAGCGGAAACTAATCCGGCGGCTCTTCGTGAAACAACTTCACAAATGAAGCGGATGTTCATCATATCAGCATCGGTAGCGTGCCCCAAACCAAGTTTTTGAAGAATCGGTTTTTGTTTCGTATAAACACCCTGTAAGTCTCCTTCGATATCCGATACGAATTTAGTTTCAAATTTTTCACGCTCTTCTAATAGGGGTGACGATTTTCCACCGAAAAGTAGACCATCCTTCGTGAATTTTAAAATTATTAATCGAGCCAATTCCCCCATGTACATCCCGGAAATCATTTTTTCAAACCTTAAAGAAATTTTTAATTTAATTAAAATTTAGCCCTAAAAAGCTAAACTGTTCAAAAGTGACGTTAAGGCTAAATTATCGTAAAATTTACGATTGGAAAAAAATATTTAATAAAAAATACTTCTACATAGATACAAATTTTGACATTAATGAATACAATTAGTCAAAATATATCATTGAAAACATGTTTGGAAATTACAAGTCCTCAACGCAATCGACATAGCACTTTCCGCGATGTTGTGTGCATAGCACAAATTGTTTAGTGTGTGGTAGGTTTTGAAGAAGGTCATAGCACCGAAACTTTGTATGTTGTTATTGAACTAAAACTAGAACTAACACTAGACCTAGAACTAGAAAGTTTTCGGTTTAGCCATGCGTCCTCATACCGTCTTAAGAAACGAACGGCTAAAGCCGAATGATTCTAGTTCTAGGTCTAGTGTTAGTTCTAGTTTTATTTGTTACTCAGCTCTAGGGTTCGCAAAATCGGTTAATCGATATTAGGTTATTCACGCATTTCGCCGCATAGTGTTTCGTTTGGAGGTTGTGGTTTTATACTAAAAGTGTGAAAGTGTTTATACTACATTAAAAGTGTTGATTAAGTTTAAATTTTACACGGGTATTTATTTCAGTTTTATATTCAAATGAAATGTATGTAAATTTATTTGTATTTTAGCCGAAATATGGACAAAAAGAAATCTGGTGTGTGGAAAATATTTCAGAGAGTAAAAGAAAATGAAGCAAAATGTTCGAAATGTTACGTAATATTAAAATGTGCGGATGGAAGCACATCAGCTTTAGCAAGCCATTTAAAAACAAAACACAACATCGATATTAAACAAAATATTGATGATGACGAACCTCCTGAAAAAAGAAATAAGAGTGCTGTTGAATCTTCTAGCAACTTGAATTTTATTCAAAGTGAATCCATGGCAGAATTGTTAGCCAGGTGTGGTGGTTTTGATGGCTTTTCTATTAATGCTTTAATACGGTCTGTTGCAATTCGGGAATTCATAACAAAACTAAGTTATGAAATGCCAAAAAGCGAAAATACAGTAAGAGACCTAATTGTGACTTTTAGTAATAAGAAAAAGAAAACTATTAAGGGTTACTTAAAAAAACTCACAAAATCTGGCATATAGGATTTTCCATTACAATCGATGAGTGGACTAATTGCAATTCACAAAGATATTTAAATATAACACTGTACACAATGGAAGGCAGTAAGTTAGGCCTTCTTTCAATAAAGGGTTCTTGCGATGCCCATCAAGTGCAGGTATTAGTTGAAAGAAAATTAAACGAATATGATATTACGATATTTAATACTCATATTTTGGCTTCAACTCAAGATGGGGCCAGTGTTATGAAAAAATATTCACAGTTGAATGGCGTGGAAAATCAATTTTGCCTAAACCATACAATTCATTTAGCTGTAATGGATACCTTTTATAAAAAATGTGATAGTACCAGCCTAGCACAAGAATTTTCGGATGAAAAAACAGGATATCATTTCAATGCGTTTCGAGATGATAACAATGAAAACAATAATGAGTACAGTTTGGAAGATAAAGATGTGGAGAACATTTTGCAAAATGTGCGCCAGATAGTAAAATTTTAAAAACGATATGTTTTTGAAATAGAACGCAAAACTATCTCTGTTACTAGATTGTAAAACTAGATAGAATTTACTTATACCAATGATGGAAAGATTCATCCAAAGAAAAGACTGCATAAACAAAGCATTAGAAGAAATCGGACGAAGTGATTTGTACATTGAAATGGATTTTAATGTTTTAATTTAATTGATATATTGAAACCTGTGGAATTGGCAGTTATAGAACTGAGTAAATCATCCTCAAGTTTATTAAAGGCAAAAAACTAAAAAATTAAACGCAAAACGAGAGTAAATTTGGAAAAAAAATGTATCAGAAAAGAAACACATACATTTAACTACGTTATATAAATTTTTACATAGGGAATCGTTCTGACAAGGAGTCAAATCTTTGGAAATGTCATATTCGGCGAAAAGCACCTTCTTTGGCGGAAAGATTATTTAAAGTTCCAAATAACGAAGGTATCGAGAAGGAAGTTGATGCAATTGAAGAAGTAATAAAACCTGTAATTACAGGAGCATCTTTGTTTCAGGAGATGCAAGAAACGATCTCAGAATTGTTGCAGGATACAGAAAAAGACAGAGAGGCCGAGTTTGGAAATAACTTTCAAAAAGAATTAAAGATGTTTGAAGCCACAAAAATTAAGACATCAACAATTGAAAATTTATACAAAGCTTTGGGAACTATACAACCGATATCTACTGAAAGTGAAAAAGTTTTTTCCGTTGCGGTTAACTTTTGTACAAAATTAAGGCCAAAAATGAAATTCGACCTATTAGACGCGTTAGTTTTCTTAAAATATTGACATCATTAATGTCCTCTAGTTTATTACTAGAAGTAGAACGAACATTAGACCTAGAACTAGAAACATTCGGGTTTAGCCCTCTTAAGAGACGAACGGCTAAATCCGAATGATTCTAGTTCTTGGTCGACTGTTAGTTTTAGTGACAGTATTAAGTAGCACTAATAAACACTAGATAGCGCTAGATTTTATGTTGTTGTTGAAGTAAAATTAGAACTAACACTATAGACCTGCTCCCAAACTATTCTCTGTCGAAACAAAATACACACAACTACTAAAAGAGTATTTAAATACGAAAATAAATACAATAATAAGTAAATAAATAAATAATAATAATTATTAATTTAAATTTACCGCCAAAATATCTAGTGATATTTTCTGGTGATTTTTCCCAGTGTAAATCTGACTTTCGCGTTTACTCCTCCTGGTTTAAAAACAGAGTATAGTTCTAGTGCAAGTGTTAGTTCTAGTTTTAATTGTTATTCAGCGCTAAGTTGTATATTTTTAAGTTTCGGGTTTAGCCCTGTGTCTTCAGACGCTGAATGTTAGGTAAGGTTAGTTTTGTTTACAAACATTAATTATACCATGAAGTATTCTTTGGCAATTAGTAATGGCAATTATAGCGTGAAGTTTTCTTTTGTAATGTCAATTATAGCGTGAAGG